GAGTTCTCTGATTACGAGGGACCGTTTTCGTAACACGGACATGTCAAAGAGATGAACTCAACTCGACATGAAAATGCATTTTCCTGGAAGGACACTTGACATATGCTAGAAGGAGGGGGGCTAGTTTTCTGACATCTCGACGGTGTACTGTACCTTGGAAAGCTGACGGACCAGGGGGGATGAACAAAAAGCACAAGGGTCAGAAATGCCCATGTGATGTTTGAGGATTCTCTTATCGCTTGTTCCTGAATCCGCGTCGACTTGTTTCAGCGTTAAGGGGTAGTAGTCCGGAGGGGTGGATATTATTGGTTGGTTCCGATTCATACTTTTGGTGAGGGAACCGGTCATGTGCCAGATGATGCGAAGGTTTGATGATCAAACTGATAATTACCTCGTAGTTGATGATGACGAGGGATGGTTATGATCTATGGGTCTTATTCCGGGCTGCCGCTTTGGGACTCGAACAAGGCTGAAGTTGCAGGTTACGGTATTCTGTAGCTTCAGGAAGCCGATGTGAATCTATTTTTATCCATTCGTATGGAGATATTCTGGGGAACTGGGAAACTGGGGAGATGGGTGGGTTGTGTTGGCAATTGAGCTGGGCTGGGCTGGGCTGGGTTGGGCGGTGGTTGCTTTGCTGGTTCTCGAAGGTTATAGATCGAGGCCCCTCGGGGGGAGGGTGTTGTGCAGTGGCTGGATTCTGGCTTCGATTGAGATGATTTCCCTATTGTAAGGGATGAGCTTTGCTATCTCTATTTATGTAGATACTGGATGGGGTAGTAGGTTCTCTTCAGGGCTTCGAGATGAATAGTTTGTTATTTTGTTATTTTGTGATTTGTTTTCTTTCACATGGGTTGCGAAGGTACCGTCTCCAGAGCTAGTCATTGACTGGATTGCTATTTCCCCGGTATCAAATTCTCGTACCTGGCACATGTATGTACCTTCTGTCTCTGGTTCTTTATCTTGCTCATGATGGTACACAATTATACGAAAGTATGTAATTTGTATAAACTGTTTGATATTTACGGTGTACAGTCGATCCAGAATACTTACAGTATATAGCACAGATACTTGTACACACATACGCAAGAGGAAAGTTAGAGCAAACGGGGATGAAGAGCAACAGTGAAGTTAGGATAGAAAGTCACCATCAGATGCTAGGGTCACCTTCTTGCAGTCGTGTGATGGTCGAAGCCAACGACATCCCGAAGTAGCGGTATAGCAAAAGCTCTGGGTTGCAATCTACTGTACTGTACTTCCTCCGGCGTACTTCCTCACTGTATGTACCGAGTACCTGTACCTCAACTCCCTCGGGGATATGGTTGCCCAATTTCTCGCCGCCTTTCCTGCTATTCTTGTCCTAAGGTAAGGCAGCTATTTTTTTTTGGTAACCCCGACATAGAAAAACTTCACATAGTCAATTGTCTAGCGAATTCTTTAGATTCCTACTGTCATGAGAAACAGGAGAGTAAAGATTGTTGTGTTTTGTGTTTTCAGTGGGCTCAAGTCCCACGGGACGGAATCACGAATTCGGTAGCCGCGAACAGAGGCCAGCCACGTCAATGCAAAGGAAAAGCCTCTTCTCTGTCTACCCTAGCCATGTGATGAACCGAGACGCGCACAGCCAACATCACTGACTGATCCCCTGATTACTTCCTTCTTCCGGTCTGGGTCTAAAAATGTCACACTCGATATATTTCCATCATCGGATGAATGGAGAGTCGTAGGTAGCCTCATCCTGGAGAGATTCAAGTAATGTGCTACTACAGCACCAGCACCGACACCGACTTATTCTGTGTCGTGCATGTTCGCAGCACCATCTTCCGTGCCCCCCCCCCCCAAAAAAAAGTCCGATTATTTGGAATCCTTTTAAGGATGCGGCTATCCACTCACATGTCTACGATTTCATCGTCATGAGATAAATCTGTAGATGCAGCAGAACATAGGTAGGGCACAGGAATTGCTAAAGCCTCAATTTCGCCCTGCCCTTTCTTCCTGCCGACCCGGAGTCGAGGGATGTGTGAGTGTGTGCCAGTGCTGCTGCCGCCGCTGCTGCTACTGCTGAGTTATGGAGGCCCTTGTCTGTTACAGTCAGTAACTTACTGGTAGCAGCCGCGCAGCAACGAAGATCACATGATAACCAGCGGTGACAAGTTTCTGTCAGTAATTCTTGAACTGTTGCTTGTGCTTTGACAAAACCCAACAACACCTTTGGACCCACAGCATTGTACACTGTCCAACATCCCTTGTCCGTGCAAAGGAGAAATAATAGCTTAATTAACTTTTTTTCCCCACGCAACACGCAAAACCAAATGCCTTAGAGAAAAGCCTCGTTCGAAACCTCAGCCCCCGGCTACTGGTTGCTACAAGATGCTTCTCCAACGGTAATGCACAGTTGCAGGATAGGAAATCCCGGGAAAGGCAAGCTGCAACGCAGAGATGCAGCATCCTGCATCACTCTTTGTTTCTCGCTCCAAGCGGTGCATCGTTGCACTACTAAAACTACCTTGATTTCTGTGGAGTGGGGAGAGGAGAGGTTCGCTCGCTGCGCACGCCAAAAAAGAATGGAGGTGAGCGGAGCTATCTCGCCCGATGCCGTGTTCGGAAATGGAAAGTCGTGGAGGAGGAGGAGGAGGAGGTTCTAGACGTTATGGCTTAGATGCACGATGCTAATATATTTTCGCAGGTTCTGCGGAAAGGTGATGCACTGCAGCCAGCGCTATCGGTTTGTTCATGCTGATGGTGGTGGATCTGATCTGGCGTCGAGCTTCGTTGCTACTTAGGCTTATGACGTGGGGCTAAGTCGACGGATATAGCATAGTATCGAGTTGCTCTTTGGTTCATGCAGGAAGTCACTGTGTTGGGGAATGACTTGGCTTTTTTTTCGTCTGCCAGTTGAGTGCGTGATGGTGTGACACTGCTACATATGGCGAGTTGCTTTGCTGCGGGTCTCATCATGGAATGAACCTCCGTGGTCTTTCTATGACTCGCGGTGGACATTGCTTCCTTTGGGGTTGGTGATTACTGCCTTCATTATAGCGAGAGAAAGATGCCATTGACTTGACAAGGAACGTTGAGGTTTTTCTCAATTTCGGGTGCTAGCTACCTCTGATGCAAGCTGGTTAGGGGAAAGTATCTGTCATGATATACATGGATAGTCCTCGGGGGATTGGCAGGTCTATCTCCACGTAGTCTGGCCACAGTAATGTCCACGGCGCAATGTCGGAGAACCATGGAGCCACAATGCCTTATCAATCACTTGGTAGTCGTCAAATGCGGATCCGGGCCTGATTCTAGAACGGCCTCGCTCAAGTCCAGAGTGTCGTGCACTCGCGACATCATCTCTCATTTGCACCCGTATGTGTATGCCTATGAACGGTTCAAAACAGCAAATATGATCCCCGTCTCCAAACCCCTCAGAAGTCGTCATCGTGCCTCCCATACTGTCCGAATCACGGATCCTTCTCGAAGCCTACAAATCTATATCTGACTGCAGATATTGCCTCCTCGTCGGAATGTACGATACTACTGTATGAACAAGACAGACAGTACATAGATGGCGCTCGTGCTACCATTTGGAGCAATTGCTCTGAAGAAAAAAGGGTGTTGATCCCAGCTTGTCTGCTGATCAAAAGAAGCGTAAGCAAGGTAGCGCCTCAGTCTCGCTCTGCAATGTTGACTTGCGTCCAACGAGCCGGTCCAGACTCATTGCTTCCTTTCTGAATGCGACTGACTGGCTGCCGATTTGCATAGATTTGGGCCCCGAGCTGACCCCCCTCCCCTTCCCCCAGGAGTCATCTCGTGTCAAAACCCAATCTGCAACTCATAGACCAGCATCCCCTGTGACAGGGAGAGGGCTGACATGCCGTTACAGGTGAGTCTGCATTAGTTTAGGGGGGAAAGGCATGAGTGGAAAATGAATCGAAAAAAGAAAAGAATAAGAAAAGCATCTGCTGCGTCATTCGACAGGGAAGGAAAGGCGATCGAAGGCTAGTCTAGAATTCGAGGAGTCGAAGTGGCTTGCTTCTGTTCGGCGATGCAGGTTGCTGTTGCTGTTGCTGTTGCTGTTGCTGTTACTGGTGTAGTTGCTGTTGTCGCTGGTGTAGTTGTTGTTGTGAGCTGGTGGTCAGCTGAGCAAATTGCAGGGGGTGATTGGATGTGTGTGTTTCCCCTCCCTCTACCGCCTTTTGTCCTCAGCTACTCCGCATTCTCTACGGGATCTGTACTTGGTGGTATACTTCCTTTCCCCTCCGTCGTATCGGCATGTTTGATGTCCGACAATCTGACTCATAATTCAGTACCATTAAGGCACACATTCCCTCACTCACTACGGGAACACTGACCGTTGTCCATCTGTCCATATTCGAAGCGAGACAGCCGACGGATAATCTCCAGTGGCAGATCAGACGAGCGTCAGCTGGCAGTAGAGGTGGCAGTGGTTCAGTCTCTACAACATTCCCACTATGGAAATCATCTCCAGTTCGTCTCTCCCCCTCTCCGGCCCCCGGCCCTTCGACCCCCTCCTCCTCCCTTCCCACCCCTGATCATCAGGTATACCCGACGCTATATTGCCTATCCTTCACTTAAGGCAACCCATCTTGACCGCGATCGACGTTGTATCCCTTCAGCTCCGATCCTCACTCTCTCCCGTACTTTATCGCACCTTAGGCCGATCACATCCAGATCGAGCCCTTGATCGATTGTGTAATACCCAATCGAGGTGGACGTCTGTGCCTAACACTCGTAAAGAGTTATCTTGACTCGGCGCTCAAGCCGGCTGATCCATCTCAGGCCTCGCCCCTAGTTTTCTGTCATGGGACCCGGTTGACTATGTTGGTCACACATTTCATTGAATGGACTATACACCGCAGTGACATGAGATGTCCACCGCACAAACATCAAGCGTTACTATATACACGACTCCGCATGAGGTATCAAAACAATGGAGGAAAAGAAGCACAAGAAGAGAAGACTCCAAATCTGGATCTGTCAGAACTCGCTTATTCTCCGATGACCACTCCGTTCGACAGCTTCAATCCGACAGGCAGCCCTCGGATGAACTCCTTGTCGAACGAGGACCCAAGCTCTTGGGACAGGACTTCCTCGATGTCCATGTACATGTCGTATCTGGTTGAAAGGTCAGAAACCTGCAGCTGGTGCTCGGAACTGATGCTTCACTTACGCGTTCATTTCTTCAATCGTGAGCTTCTTCTGCTCATCCTCGACCTTGTACTTTGGCATGTTGGTATTGCTGGAGAAGCCTGGAGAGTCCCCGTCAGTCACATACTCGCAGTGTAGTCAGATCCCAGCAGTTGCTTACCGATGCGCTCGTTGATGTTGTATGCCGCCTTGGCTGAAGCGGCTTGGACTTTGGTGGCCCGAGGCAGTCGCACCTTCTGGTAGACTGACAGCGCCGCTGCGACATCACCGGAGAAATAGGGCTTGCTGAATATGATTCCGAGGGCCGCGGCGTCTTCGATGGCCATGCAAGCGCCCTGGCTCTGATGAGGCATCATCTGCAGAACGTCAATCAGTACCTCGCTCGGAAAAGCTCGTGTAGGGAAGCAACTTACTGGATGTCCTGCGTCTCCCAGCAGGCAGACCATATTGCTGGCGATATACGGGTAAGGTTGACTATTCACAGAGTTCAACTGTTAGTGAGATGTCCAGCACTAACTCACAGATACTGCAGAAAACAACCCAGGGGCGAGACTTACTGCACCCACAGGCGCCAGGGCCTAATCTCGATGCCGATGGCCAGATGAGAGCGGACTTGTTCATCTAATTCCGGGTAAGGAGCGAGCAGCTCTTCGACCGGACGATCCTCTCCGCCCCATGTGTGCGTTGTAAAGTCTCCCTTCTCGCGAGGAAAGAAGCAGTAGTAAGACAGCAACTTGCCGCCGTTGCAAGGGGAGAGGACGATCTTATCCCACTTGCCTTCCTGGCCGCCCCAGTATTCCAACGCACTGTCCTGGGAATAGTCGACCAACCCCAGGCGGACCGCATCCTCCGTGTGGACGTTGGCATGCAAGCAGCTCGACGGCGCCGGAGTCTTCTCAGGATGAAGGCCAATGATGCCTCGCACGGCCGAGCCGATTCCATCAGCACCCACGATGAGGTCGTGCCGCACGGTTTCACCACCGTCGAAGGTAATCACACCCGTCTCGAGGTCAATATCCTGGCACTAAACGCACGATCATCAGCAACCGTCCCAGTTCAAAGATAAGTATACCCCCCCAAAACTCACCTTATGGTTCACCTTCAGCGTGACCGGCGTGCCCGCCCCTTCCTCCTGCAGCGCGCAGTCCTTCAACATGGCATGCATATACTGCCGATGGAACATATTGTAGACGTACCCCCAGCGCTGCTCGTAGTCGTCCAGATCATAGACACTGACCGGCTCCCCCGTCTTCCAATCCCGGTTGATCAACTTCTGCAGCACCACGGGGTCGCCCTTGGCGATATCGACCCCCCATTCATGCAACCACCGGGTCCCGTTCGCCGCACATGAGATCGACGCGCCCACCTCCCCCGCAAAATCATGGCGCTCGTAGATAACCACTGCATGGCCCGCCCGCCGCAGCGCAATCGAAGCCGCCAGGCCCCCGATCCCGCCGCCCACGATCCCCACACTCAGCGGTCTCCAACCAGACGCAGTTGAGCCCATCTTCTTTGTTGTATGATATTAAAATCACCAAAGCCTAATAGCAAGCGTCTGAGAAATAATGAAGAGGGTGAAGGTGAAGAGTAATGATGATACTTCGATGTCAGAGACCCTCTAGTTTACAGGCGGAAGCCATCTATTTAAACTTCCTCTCCCCTCCTTCTTTACCATCACTACATCATAGGTTATCCCGATCAAAAGAAAGAAAGATACGAGACGGGCCCAGTCGCCGATTGTCCATGAGCTCACGAATCATCGCCTCTCTGCATCCCCCCAAAACAGTTATCAGTCGGGGCGGGCAGGCGGGCAGGCGGCCCGCGCACTCCAAGTGCATTATCCGCTTTGCTTGCGCTGTCGTAGCCGACGGACGCGGGGCGGAACTGGCACCACCCGCTTGTATATCGACTGGCTTATCTTTTGACTAGGGGATTGAGATGGGATTATGCTTCGTTTGATCGGATCTTGGGTGTGGGATTTACGCAAAAAAAAAGTTGACGTTTGATAAGGGTGGATGATGGGGCGGGTTTAGCTGTGGGAGGTTCGGGCGGATGTTGCACGTCCGCTTGTATACATATCTTGTGGGGCGGGGGGGGGGCCCTTTAACGGCAGGCTCCTGCTGTGGATATGCAAGGTTTGGGAGAGATTGGTGCACCTGAGGGCTTTTAGATAGGCGTGGCTCTGAGGACTGGGTTGCGCGCTACGGCAGATATCCTGAAGAGCTAAACTTATATATCGTAGTCCATTGGAGATAATAAGTACAGTACAACGTAGCTATATTCGGTACGTGGGAATGTTCTACTGGAGCTTCTTTGAACAAAAAGTCTTTTCTTTCGCATCAACCTGAGGCAATCTCAAACATCATCAGAATAGAAGTGAACGATGTGTGCCATGGAAATTTATTGTACTTTGTTTGATTCCCTTAGTTTTCTCTATGTACCAACAACCATAGTGACACCCCACCACGCGCACCACCTCGGTTTGTTCATTACTCTTGCCGAGAGGAACATATATTGAAGAAAGTAAGTAGGATTATCATCTTTAGCCCCGATGTGACTGTAAACGCCAAAGGTGGTGGACTCTCTTTTAGCCTGCAGAATAAGAAGAAGAAAAAATTACATTCCTGTATACAAGAAATCTAGAATTCCTGGTCATCGTCACCGGAGATGATGACGTTGTTGATCTGCGATGTGATCACTTATTAGCCTCTTGGTCTGGGGTTGACTCAGGTGGATAAGCAAACTTACCTTAAGAACCATGCGGCAAAGCTGGGTGGCGAGCAGGAGCTGCGAGCGCTTGCCGATCAAGGGGTCGATGGCGAAGTGCTCTCTCATGTCTAGTCAAGAAGTGTTAGTCGGAGTTGCGCAGCAGCAAGATATGTTGTTTGAGAGCTACAAGGACGTACCGTTGTTGCCAGTCAGCATGCAGTCGACACCCAAGCGGGAGTTGTTCTCCTTGACCTGGCGCGACTTGATCGAAGCCAGGGTCTCAATGGGGCTCAGGCCGGAGTTCTCAGCCAGCGCCAAGGGGATAGCATCCAAGGCATCGGCGAATGCGCGCATGGCGTACTGCTCAATACCAGGGCTCTGCGGGAATGTTAGACAAATAACACAAGGGTAGGTCCGGACTTGAGAGGCGAGGTTCCACGCACCTTCACAGCAGCATCCTCAACAGCGATGGAGCAGGCAATCTCGGCAGCACCACCACCGTAGACGACACGGTTATCGCGCACAAGGTTGCGCACAACGCAAAGAGCATCGTGTAGCGAACGCTTGGCCTCGTCAATGATCTGGTGGCCATGGTCAGCAATCGGTCACGTCAATTCCATTCACCCGTTCAGACTGACCATCTTGTTGCTTCCTCGTACGAAGACCGTGACGGCACGGCTGTTGGCGCACTCCTCGATCACCAACATCTTCTCCCGGGTAGTACCAAAGGTCATCTCGCGAACGCGACCGGCAGTTCCAAGCTTCTCTGGGCTCAGATCCTCGAAGCGAGGAACGATGCGACCATTCGTGGCGATAGCGATCAACTCAATCTCGGGTCCACCGACCCAACGGACAGCAGGAAGCTTGTTCTGGAGAAGAAGGTGGTTGGCCTCGTCGTCGAAACCCCACTGGCAGATGACCAGGTTGGCCCCGGAATCCTTCAGGTTCTGGATCATCTCTGTGAACTTCTCCCTCTCGTAGTCCTGCAACTTCTTGAACTCCTCCACGGATGTGATGTCGAGCTTGTGCTTGGTCTTGGGCTTCGGGGGCTCAAACGGACAGGTCAAGATAGCCAGCTTAGCATCCCGGACCTCATCCGGCATCTGAGGGTGAGAGAAGTCCTTGTCGACAATAACACCCTTAACGAGGAGAGAGTCCTCAAGAGCACCTCCAACCTTTCCGTCAACCTTGATCAGCTCGAAATCGACATCCTTGCGCTCGAGGTCGGCCACGGAGAGGACAGCATCGATGGCGATCTTGGCGAATTGGTCGTGGGACTTGGAAACGCTGTGAAAGAGTCAGATGGGAGTGACTGCAGGGGACTCAGGATATGGTCACCGTACATCTTGGAACCCAAACTCGTCTTGGCAACCTTCAGAAGGTTGGAGGTGTCCTCCTTGGAGAAGGGGATCTCGTCGCTGATCTTATCAAGTTGTGCAATCGCGATCTCACAGGCCTGGTCGTATCCGTCTGCGATCCGGATAGGGTGGATACCCTTGTCGATGAGTTCTGACGCTTGCTCCAGCATGGCTGCCGCCAAAACCACAACACCAGTAGTTCCGTCACCGATTTCCTCGTCTTGAGACTTCGACAACTCAACCAAAAGCTTGGCAACGTTGTTTGTGATTTCCATCTGTCCAAAATCTTCAAGTCAGAACTTTTGCTAGGGGAGGACTGCGGGGCGTAGTTGTCGGCACGAACCTGGCCGAGAATAGTAGCGCCATCGTTCGTCACGGTGATATCGCCATCGGGGGAGATAAGAATCTTGTCAAGACCGCGGGGACCCTGGAGTAGTCTGTTAAAATCGGAACCGAGACGCATCTAGCATTCGTCAGGCGACAGATCATACCAGAGATGTCTTGACGATGTTGGCAACCGTCTTCGCGGCGACAATGTGTGACTTGACGGCTTCAGTACCATGCTGTCTCTTCTTCTTGCCTTGACTGTCCGGATGGATTGCGATCAGCGACATATCCTACACCGACGAGATTGTGGCACACCATCTGAGCGGGGGATCGTAACGTACTCCCGAACAACGATGAACGGCCGGCCTTGTTCATCCTTCATCACAGAAGCTGAGTGTGGTAGTCAGCGACCCCGGAACTTGTATCATAATGACGAGGATAGGTAGCGGAGGGGTCAACCTTGAGACAGATCAAGCTCTGTAGTCACAAGAAAAAGACGTTAGCACCTTGGTCCGAAATGAGGGGTATCAGAAACATACGCATAGCCATTTTGACGGTCTGCCCACTTGGCGGGAATTTGGAGGGGGAGGGGGAGAGGAAAGGTTAAACAAAAGCCCACAAATCACAAATTGAAAAGTAGACGGAGAAAGAAAAGAGCCCCCAAAGAAGAGAATTAGGAGTCGGTGAGGGGGAAGAATGATAAAAGAAGGGGGAGGGGGTAGAGAGAGGGGATGCTTTAACCGGCACAACTTCAAATGACGGGCGATTGTAGAAATTCATCTGGAGATGGAGGGAGCCAAAAGCGGGCTAGTGAGCTGCTTGCCCAAAGGGGTCTAGCGTAGATCTTCCACCGCGCGCCTGCGCGACTAGCCAATAACCATTTCACTGTCCATCGTCACTCTTCTTGCTGCTACTCCGTACTCTTTTCCCATTATTCCATCCTCTAATCTTCTATCGGCCTGCGGTCGGTGAACTGCAAGCGCTCATCGATCTAAGAAAGCCATTCGAGTCAATTGACATCGCATTTCGACCGCCAAGCTGTTTTCGCGACTCTTCTATTTCGCCGCATCACCGTTTCAAACAACAACAATGCCTCGTGAGCATCAATTGCCCATGACCGCGCGTCTAAACCTGTCGCACGGAAAGATTTGACTGACTAACCATCATTTACCATCAGCTCCGGTGACTGACGTGTCCGATGACGAGTCGACTGGCGAGTCTATTCCTTACGAGGAGGCCCCCGCACCTAAGAAGCAGGCAAAGAAGCAGGCCGTTGACGATAACGAGGATGATGAGGACGAGGACGAAGATGAAGAAGAAGAAGACGTGTGAGTACGGTTAGGAAGTGCTTGGGTTGGTCTTGGAAGTCCTGACTCCGCGCAGTTACCACGTCGAGAAGATCGTCAGTCATGAATGGGGCAAGAAGGTGCGCGCCGCTCTCACTTGGGCCTGTTGCCCAATTACAGCTACTTTGGAAGTCTCGCTAACTTTGCGACAGGGCGAGCTGCTCCTGCAGGTGAAATGGAAAGGATATGATGACCCCGCCGACATGACACTTGAACCAGAGGGAAATCTGTGCGCTCTTCGCTTCTGCCTTTACCTTTGCACAAACCGAACTGACCCAAATGATTTTGTCCAGCGATGGTGCGCAGGAGGCGGTTAATGAGTACTTTTCCAAACTAGGTGGCCGTCCGGAGAAGCCTCAAACCAAGAAGCGCAAGTCCTTGGGAAGACCTCCTAAATCAGCAAGCCCCGAGAAGACACAACCGAACAAGCGGAGAAAGTCTCGAGCAAACGAGTCACCGGAATCCCAAGCAGCAGAAGACAGTGACTCTGGCTCGTGGGTGCCCAAGTCTAAGAGCTGGGAGAAGGAGGTGGATAACGTCGACACAATATTCCGCGAGCCGGGCTCGGGGAATCTGCTTGCCATCTTGAATTGGAAGAATGGCAGAAAGTCCAAGGTCCTTATTGAAACTTGCTACGAAAGATGCCCTCGAAAAGTATGTGCTCCTGTGGCCTTTTGGATCTGAGAGAGAATAATGGCTGACAACAGGCAAGATGCTTGACTTCTACGAGTCTCATTTGTAAGTAGTCACTTGTACCGCAGGACGACGCTATTCATAAGCTAATGTCATGGTAGGGTCTTCAAAGAAGGTTGAGATACCATGTGGAGTCTGCCGTCTCTTTTCCTCCCAGCAATTTGGGTGAAGCATCCAGGCATTCGCCTTCTACTTCCCTTGGTATCCTCCCCAAGGTTGCGATTAGTGGCTACGAAGCGTTTACAACGAACCGTGCATATGGGTGTTCTGTTGGGGCTTTATACCACCATTTACAAATGCTATGACTGTAAGATAAACCCTCTTTTGGGTACTTCTTGGACATGAGAGGTCAGCGGAGGGCACAGAATGTCCCAAGATGAAAGAGCACTTGCACACTTCTTGAAATACATCTTGCTTCTTCCGTTGCCATCTTCGTTATATTCCCGGGTCTTTCCCTGACTTTTCTTTTCATTTGATCGCTTAGCGTTCCTCTGTATTCTAGTTGCATGTTATCAAATTTCCAGTTTGTGGTGGACTTCCTATTCGATGGTTTCTGTCTCAAGACCGGCAGCCCTTGCCATGCTTAGATATTCCCACCTAGCATCAAACGCTTCCGCGCCGTGTTTCTCTAGAACCCGCTGGATCCCTCGGGTCTCTTTCCCTTCCACACACCTGTCATCTCCCGAGGTCCAAACCCCCGGAATATCGTCTGGAATGTCCTTTCCGGCCACCAAGAACTCGAGAACCTTGTCTGCTAAGTCTGGGTCCATACTTGTGCAGCGCAAGGCCTCAATTATCTGTGCCTCTGTCGCTCTGCCATTCCGAAGGCGGCGGTCAATCCAAGTGTCAATATCCTGCTCCGGGATCTCTGGCTGAGGGTCGGGAACGGATTCAGGCTCGGGACTTGAAGGTAAGAAAGGAAGCTGAAGAAATAGAGGATCTATTTCCGGGGGTATTGGGGCGGGGTCTGTGCCACTTTGTGGCTTATCTGTTCCAGTCTCGGTCTGTTTCGGAATGGATTGTTGCTCGACTCCGTTCGTAGTTGGAGAAAGCTTCTCCCCACCAATCAATGCCTTAGGATCGGTTTGTGGTGGAGGAGGCCTCACAGGCTCCTTACCTTTGTGCTGAAGGCGTGCAGGTGCAGCTGCTACACGTTCTGGCACGGGCTCAGCGTTTCTTCTTTTGGGAGCTGAACGATGCATTGGGTCAGGTTGATTCGCTTCGTCGCCAGTCTCCGACATGCGTTTCCTCTTCTTGTCAGCTGGTGTGCTAGAAGAGGGCACAGCCTCATGCTCCCGTGAGAGAATTGCTGGCGGCTGAGTCTGCGCTGTAGGGGCCGTCACCTGTGCAGGAGCAACCTCCTGCGAAGCTTTTTCTTCAAGAGCAGAGCCTTTTGGCATGCCCCCCGGACGCGGACGACCACGTAGCCTCTTTAGATAGCGATCACGCCATGATTGAAATGTATGTCTGGGATTCTAGGGGGTATTCAGTCACGATTAGACATCTATGCGGGGGGCTATAGATTGAGGTGGACACTACCTTCGCCGCAAGTTCTTGGTAAATCTTATTCCCTGAAATAGAGGCTGTCGAGTCTCGTTCATACTTCTGCATCCAGTCCCATAGAAGCTGGTCATCTGCGACAGTGTAGGGCACTTTGTGGTTTCGCGTAGGAATGTATGAAGCGCCAACTGGTCGAGCTTCTGATGGCCCGGCTCGATAAGGCTCTAGATTCTGCATCCGCCCTTTGCGGATGGAGTCCTCGATGAACTTGAAGGAGTATCTATGCATAAGTGAGTTGTGAACATCTAGGCGGAGTGACATACTCACGTGTCCGGCGGGAGATTCCTGCGTTTGTGATCGACTATTTTGATTTCGGCATCTTTCTCAAACAGCCTTATGTGGCCTCCGTGTTGCTTGAGCCCTTATTAGGTAGGAGCTCGCTATCAATCCAGGGCAAAGGATGAGTACCTCAATAAGATCTTTGAACCGGTTTCGTTGGGGAACATTGTGTGAGAGCCAGAAGTGCTTTCCCCGGAAAAGCGTCCCATTCGCGGTTATTGGGGCCTCATGACTGACTGCCGTAGTTGCCTCAGCCATAATAATCCATAAGAATATCCGTTTGGCCTGGAAGCCTTGGAAAGTCGCGTCGGAGCTGTTGAACGCCCTTGCAAAGCCTCCGACGACGCGCTATCACGTGTTTCCGATGTTGAGTATAGATCCAATTGCGCCGGATGGTTTGTACGTCTTTGGGTGAGTGTGTTTTGTGCTTATAACAAGCCTAGCATCATCATGACATGGATAATGTTAGAGCAAGAGCATGCTCTGAGCAGTCGAGACAATTAGAGTCGAAGGCACTTTGTTTGTGGTGGTCATGACAGACAATTGTGAACTGGAACTGGAACTCGGCCAGCACCAGCCCATTCCCCGTATCTTGGAAATACGGTCACGTGCCCAGCCTGTCCAACGGCCGCGTGGGCAACAACCCGGGGATTCATCCTATGGCACTGCAGCCTTCCCATTATCCTATTGAGGCGAAATACAACGGGGTGTCTGAATTAATGATCGAAATATTCACGCATGTCAGGTCAATGATATATAATACCAAGCTAGCAGTACCTATGCTGTACATAATTGGAATCTGATTGCGACTCAAAATTGGACCCCCAAACTGGTTCGACTCGGAGCAAGATGGGATTGCTACGGACCATAGCGCTGGCCATCCTTGGAATTTCAGGCTTTGTATTTATCGCCCTATTTGGAAGACTACCTGCATTTCGGTAAGCTATGTATTGGTCCTCGAATGCAGTGAACTGCGACTGATGCATGCTTGTAGCAAAACTCCAATCGGGTTCCTTCATAGAGTTCTTTGGATACATATCCCTAGTGGATTCGCAAAAGTCGATGAAATACTGTTCAGCGGCCGGCTTTTCTCTTGCTGCAGTCAGGCTGGCAAATATGTTCTCAATGAGAACCATCCTCTTGTTCTGGTTCGTCTCATGAATCAGAAGTCAAGCTCGTCTCCCTGCTGACTGAACTCAGATATTCTTTGCCTCACTTCTGGTAGCAGGCCAGTGCATGTTCATTCCAGCCGCTTGGGCCAGGATCTCTCCGGCCCACCATGTATGGATACCGCTCGTTGTAGCCCTCCCTTACTACTTCTTATATGCGAGCATAACCACTAAGTCTTTCATTACCCCCAAAAACCACGCTGAGGAGTTGGAACGCTATCCATACGATAGGGTCATCTTCCATCCAGGACACCGCTGCAGCACCTGCCGCTTCCTCAAGCCGGCGAGAAGCAAGCACTGCAGCACTTGCAAAGCATGTGTTTCCCGACACGACCATCATTGTGTGTGGTTGATGAACTGCGTTGGGTTGCACAACTATCACTACTTCCTGTCGCTGATAGTATCGTTATGCGTCATGCTGACTTATGGCTCGTGCCTTGGATACACTCTGCTGTACCAGACCTACGACAAACTGGTACCTGCCGACAATCCTTTGCGACACACGCGACAGAGCTGGACGACCTTCTTCAACATCTGGGCCGTGGTGATCGCTGCTGATGTTCGCATTGGCGCGACAACCCTGTTGATGACGATGACAGCCCCTTTGGCGGGGGCCTTTCTCGTATACCATACCTATCTGATTTGGGCCGGTATGACCACCAATGAAAGCTCCAAGTGGTCGGATTGGAAGGAGGACGTTGCCGACGGCTATGTATATAGATCGACCAAGGACGTGATATATGGCAATTCGCCCTTGCTCGCAGAATACCAGGGGTCACCCACAGACTGGCCCATGAGCAGCGAGCAGGTCCTTGCACTCACGGATGGGGAGGCTCCAAAGGAAGGACATCTGTTATCTTCGGATTCGAACGAAATATCGCAGCCCAGCGACCGAGATGCTCCTATCGACCCGCGGTGGAATTTGGTACATAGTATGCGGGAGGTTGAGAATATCTATGACCTGGGGTTCTGGAACAACTTGCGCCATGTTTTCGGGCTCTCCATCCGAGCCAAGATGTCATGAAAAGGTATGGGCTCTATACATACTACATTATTTAGTAGTGATGTGAATTGTACATGAATCTTCCCGAATAGGCAGTCAGTCGGCGGCGGCGGGATGGTTCCGGAGCCGGAAAAATTCCCCTCAGCGGGTGTTATTCTACGAGTAATAATTCCCAAGTTCTTTCCTTCTCCGCCCGCACTTAGTTGGACTTCTTCTTCTTCCCCGCAACAATCAATTCGCAAAGCCGCAGCTGCTCAAAACCAACGGTATCTTTAACTTCGCGCCCAAGATGGCTGACCGGGCAGCAGCGGAGATGAAGCCCAAGTGCACTCCTGCAGAGCTTATGCTAAAGGTTATTCTGACGGGGACCTTGAGCCACTATGAGACCCGGGGTATGATTGATGACAAACGTCTTGAACACATGCTCTCTGCGGGCAAGCAGATTCTTTACAAGACACACCAAGAAAGCGATGTCAGGTGTGTTTCCGAAGCATTTCCCCTACTATTCCTTCAAGCCCATTTCGTTCTGCAGCCCCACGCTTGCACTGTTCCCCGCACAGAGACTGTGTTGTTGACCGGCCGACTGATTGAGCTCCCCTCGATAGACATAATCTCGGCCTGTCACCGGACATCTGGCAAGGCTTCACAGATGTTTTGACCAAGGCGATCCCGGTTCTCGAGTCCCAGTCGTTCGCTTGGAAAAGCCCTCCGACCGCCAACTACGACCACTCTTCCTCCAACCTCATAGCCTACAACTACTTCTCACTTGTCAAGGATATCGAGCGCCTGAATGACTTGTGTACCATCGCCCGCAATCTCCTCGCCACCACGAAGAAGGCCCAAAATATGGCGGCGGAGAAAGGCTTTGATCAGAGGATTCTAGCTCTGGTGGACACCTGTGTCAGAGTCACCGCGCGGGGATTTGATGGGGAAACGAACGCACGGAACGAGGAGCGCTGGCAGAAAGTCGTCAACCTCTACAAGCGCCTCCTGATCACGTGTCTGCAGTTCATGCACAATTTCATCATGCACAACGAGCAGCGGAAGATGGTTTTGTGGCTGGACCTCTTCGGATACCATTCCACGGGAGATTCGAACATCATTCAGCCCCGGGAGCCGCTTGATCCGGCCTTTTCTCAGCCCGAAGGAATGGCGCCGATTGTCAAAACCGGAGAGCGGATAGTCAACCCCCCCATCCGGGCTCTCTACGATCAGACTGCGGAGGACTTGCTTCTGGAGACGATCTCCAATTTCCCCCGGGAACCCGCAACGATCAAAGAGGAGGCGGCCATGCTGCTTCTGGCAAACATCAAGGACCACATGGAGAACCTGCTCGGGCGCGATCTGACCGCCATACAGGAGATGGGCAAAGACCCGGAGCAGGTCAAGGAAATTCGCGCAGCTTTGACTGCTATTCTCGGAGCCAAGGTAGATGGGTGGTCTGATCTCCAGGATAGAGCCAAGGACCTTCCGCCAGCCCTGCCAGAAGATGAGCCTCCTCGCAAGAAGGCGATTGTGACGATAGATCGGAGCCTAACAGCTGGTTTCCCACGCGTTTGTTGGACCGATCTTCCCGACCTTAGCGAATACGGGGCGCTTTCGGCTGGTGATGCAGTTGTCATGGAGGAAGATATGAGTATGCCCCGGTCTGCTCAATCTGCGGCCGAAACCCTACAGGAAGCGAAGGACGAGTTGATGGCGCGACTGCAAGAGAGCTCCCAGATTGGTGGTGATGGAGACCAGGACTACGATACTGGGGATGCGGGCACCGTTGGTGATGACGACTCGCGCAGCCTGGAGGCTGTTGCAGACGGAAGCATGGAGGAGGAAGAGGAGGAGGAGGAGGAGGATGACGATGAAGATGACGACGATTACCGCGGCCGTCCAGGAGACCAACAACGCGGTCTGTTGACGGATATACCGCTTGTGCTTGGACCCGCAGAGATCGAAGCGCTTCCTATGATTATCCAAGCCGGTATCGTTGACAGTTTCGGCTTGAAGGGCGGAGAAAGGACGGGGTCGCGGAATATGCAGGCTCTGCGATGCCACATCCTACTGACGCAGGAGACTGGTCGCAACCTGTTGAGAGAGTTGTTGATCTTCATTGCTGCCTGGGATCTTCCTGATGACGAGCTCTACTTCAAGATGATGGTTCAGATCATGGATGCGGTTCTCAAGAACGGTCTTATGTCACACGCATACTCCGATTTCGGCCAGCCCAAGGACATTATTTCTCCTGCGCAGGCAGTCGTGGTCAAGATTCTTACACACATCTTCCGAGCTAAGTATTCTCCAGCATCAGTCACCGGTACTTCTCAACATACCGCAACCAAGAGCCCGGCCCCTCTGTCCCGAGTCGACATCCTTACCGTTCGATACATTTTCACCATCTTCCGGGGCAACATCATTCCTGAGACTTGCGCTTTGATCTACTTGCAGGGACAGATTCGCGCCGGACGGGCTCTGCCGGAGGACTTCCCGCTGAACTTGTGGGATATGGAGCGGGTCTACGAAGGTGTCTACCAGTTCTTGGAGTTCTTCGCTGTGCTGACCGAGAACAACGACTGGAAAAACCTGCTTGTCAAGTGGGAGATCGTCTATGACTTGGTGACGTTGATCAAGGAGCTTGAGGCCAGCATCCCCAAGGGCCAGCTGAGTTCCCTTACTCTGGGAGGACGCAACAGCCCTTCCCGGGACCATCAATCTAGCTCGGGTTCCGGGCCGGTAGCAGTCGAGAGACCATATGACCCCGGTGACCCCGACCCCGTTGATGCTGGGCCGGGATCGAGAGCAGAGTCGCCGCCCATCACGGAGGACCCGTCGGAGTTCGAGTGGCGCAATTTGAAGAAGCTGGTGGTGCTTGTTCTCTCGTCTTTGGTGTGGAAGTGTCCCGAGGTTCAGGACCAAATCCGGCGCTATGGTGGTGTGGAAACCATCCTGTCCTGCACCAACTTCGATGCTCACAACCCCTACATCAAGGAGCATGCCGTGATGTGTTTGAAGTTCTTGTTGGAAGGTAACCGCGAGAATCAGAAGATGGTCGAGGAGTTGGAAGCGCGCGAGGTGGTCAAGGATGACAACGGGGTCCTGGAGAGGAGTGGCCTGGAGGCTATCATCGACAAGGCGGGCAAGTTGGCTCTTCGACCCAAAGAGGAGCTTTGACTTAGGATTATAGCTTAGCTACGCTATTACGCTATTCTTCCTGACATGATAGACTTAGAAACAAAAATTACAGTTCATGAATGAAACGTCTCTATGCAAGTTCAACAGCAAGCCTCGCGGGTCCAAAGCATAGTTCCGCAACACCATGCCCTATTATTCGGCCCCTATCTGTAAACCTAACCATACATGCCATCCCACTCCTCCTCCTCATCATCCACCGCCGGCTTCCGCCTGGCCTCCGCCTTGTCCCTCTCCTGCTTGGCGAAATCCGTGCGATCCAGCGGACACGTTCCCCGCAACCTCAACCACGGCCGCACGCACTCCAAATCAAACAGATGCGTCGGATGACACGGCAACCGCACGACAAGGGGGTACTGATCCTCCAAGAACGGGTTGTTGCAAATCGGACAGACCTGCGACGAGTTCAAGGATGTCTTGGGCACGCGATCGAGCACTACACGAGAAACCAGACATTAGCCAAAGACCCTTTCTGCTCGTATTCCGCAAACAACCCCCCTTAACCACCCTTTTCACCCCCGCCGGAGAATGAAAAACGGAATACATACCATCGCAAAACTCCTCACTCACCCCCTCCACCTCCTTGGGCGGCCGCTCCGCCGACTGCAACAACGACGCAATCATTTCCGTTAGTAGCTCGTTGCCCCCGTTGACATCGGTAGCCGTATCCTCCGGCCCGAAGCTGGGGATCCCCCCCGCTGCGGCGGCGGCGATGACGTCCCCGCCCCCGCCGCTGCCCCCGTCGCGGCGCATCACGTTCAACGCTTCGGCGAGCGTGTAGAAGGCTGCGCTGATGTCGCGCGGGACTGGCACGGCGTGCGGCCGGTGGGTGCTGTGCGATTCATCCGGGGTGATTTCGGAGAGGGTGGCGAAGAAGCTGGAGAGGTCAGGGCGGCGCGGGTGCGTTGTGGTTGTTGTTGTTGTTGTTCCTCCTGTGGTGGTGGCGGTGGTGGTTGAGGAAGGGTCGGTGGTGTTGTGTTCCACTTTTTGGGAGGGTTAGTTTGACTTGAACTGGGGGGGTTGATTATTGGGTTTGGGTTTGAGGGGGATAGGGGGGTAGGAGGATGGTACCTTCGTAGGTGGACATGGTGGGAGTTGTGGGAGCTCGGGGAGCTCGAGGGGCTGTGGTGAGGGGTTTGTGTTGCGGTGCGATGGGTTTGGGATGGAAGAATGGTTGATTGGAGTGGGGAATATAAATGGAAGGATTCTCGTGAGGAGAATGGTGGTAGAGACTGCGGTGACGTTGGCGTCTGAACGCTTCTGCGGCAGGTTGCCGAGGTTGAGAGAAAAGAGCTCGATAAGGTACGGTACTTAAATGGCGGCGGCGGAGATGAGATGCGGAGGCAGCAGCCGATAACGCGTTGCCGCTCGGCGGCGGAGATTCCGATCGGGCGGAATCTCGGTCTTTACTGGCTACTAGGTATTTTACGAACTATGCTCCGATGTAGAGCATGAAAGGGTAGATAGATACAATCCTTAACTATATAAGTAAACTGGTAGTATAATCGCGTTAGTAGTTAAAGTCCTCATATACTACGTTCTTACCAGTGAGCCACTTCAAAACCGAGCTTTTCAAAGCCGGACTGCCGCAGAAATACCATGTCTCGGCCAATGACAGGTCCAAATCATCTGTGTCCATCCTGCGTCGTGAAATCTGTGCTCCAGAGGAGACGACAACCTCATACTGCCGCTTGATGAATTCGTCCTCCGGGTCAGACCCGGTGAGAAACAAAGACGTCGATCTGGGCAGCGCCGGAAACCGCTTGAACGTATTCCACACTAAACCCACGTCGCTGATTGATATAGACCACAATAGTCGTAGCCGGCTAAGATCCAGACCGGGGAGCTGGGCAAGCACAGGCGTTATCCCAATGCCACCTGCTATAAAAGGCAGGATCTCATTTCCCGCTGAATTTATCTGAAATTCTCCCCCAACCCCTTTCAGAGGGACCTCAAGGCCGGCTCGTTCATTGACTCCCCAAAGATAGCGAGTCACATTACCGTGCTTCCTGGCTGTTATTTCGAACTCTGATGTAGAGATTCCCTCGCCTGGATAAGATGAGATAGTGAACGTCCTGACATAATCGTCATTGAGGCTGGTCGGGTCATCGTCTCGCATGTGGCTGTAGCCGAGACTCAGCTCATCCCAGAACGAGAATGTCGCGTACTGCCCTGGAATCCACTTTCCAAGTTTGACTGGATCGGAGACGCGGAATCGGAAACGAGCAATGGCTGGAGTGAGAATCTCTTTCCGGATAAGAGTTGCTGTGATAGAGCTATCTTCCTTGAGATCGGCCGCACTGACCTTTTCTGTCGCCAGATACCGCACCGGAGGATTGTATGGAGACGGCTCCCCGGCGATACCGCGGAAGGAGAGGGACTTTTCCACATATCGCGCAGCTGTGACGGTGACCACGACTGCCAGATTTGACCGCGGAAGCACCCATGCTGCATCTTTGCCTACCAGAATCCGCGCTTCCCCGGTCACGTATAACGCACTTCCCGTGTCAAAGTCCGGGAAGACGTATCCTGATCGAGGATTGGTCTGGAGATTGCCTAGAGTCTGGTATAGTCGATTACCTGAGTATTCTGGATAAGCAAATACAGCCCCACGTGGCCCGTTAGACACCAGTCGCACAAATCCAGGAGGACCTCCACGGATGTTTGTGTCCATGTCAATTGTACCATGAGCCGAAGAGACAAACAGGCAGTCAGCACGATTGAGAAGGTCTACAGCCGCCGGGGTCAGTTGAGGCGAGCTTGACACCAGCTTCGGATTTGGAAGGGCAGGGATGATCTGCTTCTTATTCATATACTTTGGACAGTTTCCTGATTCGTCAGCTGTGCCGCATGCCTGATATTATGGGATATCTACTCACCGAGACTTGCATCAATGTGCAACGTCAGGTGGGCGAATCCCACCTGGTTCAAGCCTGACACTGCGCTGGGACTTTCCAACGACCCCGCAATCGACCTGCCGTGAAGCTTCACTCTCTTACGATTTTCCAGATCGAAGACTAATCCAGACATCAGTTTTCCGCCGCGCGTGGAATCCGCCAAGTCGCCTTCCGGTGGACCCAGCAGTATTCCAGCGACGGGATCATGTCTCCTGTCGACAGGTGTGGTCAGTTCGACCGTGGTTTGCGAAGTAGGTCTAGCGAATCCTTTCTCGCCGCCCCAGATGCTTGTCCAGGGGCGTCCTTCCGAATCAATAGTCCCAATAGCCAAAAGTGGAGCGCGTGGCAGTAGATAGCCAGCATTATAGGTGAGGCTTGGAACTGTGGGGTTATCGCGTGGGGGAACGTGAAGCAAATTGTGCATTTCTTGCTCACCCTCATGCCAGGGCATGGAACCTGCAAGTATGGAGGTCATGATGGATTAGTAGCTTGGCGACTGATGTCGGACAGCCAACATTTAGTAGCTAGGAGAAAAGAGGACATCAGTGCTGGTTGTGAGGGCACTGCTGGCTTTATGGGGAGAGTTGTAGGTATGTGCGAAGGTTTAGGGAATTAATCAGCAACGATGGTGTCAGTCAGTCAGTCAGTAAGTATGGTAGTACGATGCGAACCAGTAGTAACCATGCAGCGACAATAATACGAGAGGGAAAGAGAGCATCTAGAACTGGATGAAGTAAGCGAGACACGTGCCATGCCTACATAACTACTCCACAGGTCAAACGCGGCTGGGTTCGTCATCTCCTCCTCTTCCCGCTGCTTTCTTTAGCAACAGCCGTGGTTGTGGAGCCTGCCCAGGCAGTGTAAAAAGTGATCGACCCAGCCAGGCGTTGCATTGTTGTGTTTCTTGCTCTCGCACTCGCACTCGCACTTCCTGCCTGCTGTTTCTTTTTATTTCCTCACTTTGTTGAATTGTCATGACCTGAAATCAACTCTCCCCCTCTTGCAGGTTCAAGAGCATCTGTCTTTCTACCATCTCCCCCTGTCGCTCACCCACAGTATTGTTGTCTGATCGTTTTTTGTTTACTACTTATCGATCGGAACGCAACAATTACTGATAAACCCACCCCACTGCGACTGGAAACATCCTCCGATAACCACCGCCCACTATGCGTACCACAGCATCAGTCAAACCATCCCACTACCCAGCGATACCCTTCCACATTATCCGCGCAACGGGTCTCATTTCGACCTTTATCGTAGGAATTATTCTTGCTGTCTTTATCACCAACCTACACAGCCATGGCTACAAGCTTCCGTGGGCCTTCCTGGTCGTAAGTCCCTGCTTCTCCTTCCCCGGATTCACGCCGGTCCCAGCCAGACACGCAGACACACAGACACACAGACACCCCAACTAACTCGAAAGTAAAACAGCTCCTAATCGCCACCGTCCTGACCCTTCTCAACTACATTCTCACGACACTGACCCACTGCTTCTATGGCCTCTCCCCACGCCTCTCCCTAACCACCAATTCCATCCTCCTAGTTCTCTGGCTCATCTCCCTTGGCCTACTGAGCTACTGTCTTGCGCACACCATCCTGACCAGCTGCACTACCACCTACTGGGGCACCTCAACCGGCATCAACGTGTGCCGCATCTACAAGGCGCTCTTCACGTTCACCATCCTCGCGACCGCCGCCCACATCGCCGCCGTCGTCCTCGATGTGATCGTCCGCCGACGCCAGACCCGCCTGGGCGAATACGACCCCATGGCCAGCAACGCCGCCCTCAACGACTACAAGATGCACAACCGCGGGAGCAGCGTCATGTCCGGCGGCGTGGGCCCCTACCACCCGGACGACATGTACGCCCAGCCGCATCCCGCGCAGCAGGGGCCCTACGGGTACCCCGCCGGCCAGGAGGCCTATCACGATGCACCACCGCCCAACATGCCGGGCCAGTATATGTCCCCGCCGCCGTCGTATAGCGGGCTGGGAGCCCACGCCGGCGCCGCAGCAGAGCACGACCGCGCTCACGAGGTGGAACAGTACAGCGACGCTGCGGCGGCGGGAGATCTCGGGGCACAACACCCCATGCCGCGGGTGCGGTTCAGCGCGTATGGAGCTTCGGCGTCCACCATGGGCTATAACCGTCCCGTGGAGCAGACGGGGTATGATGCTGGGGCGTATCGCTAGATGTCTATTGAAATTCGTTTCGTTTGCCTCCTGTGGCCTGACGAGCTTGTGTCCTTGAAAGAAGGCGTACGCTAGAATTCGAAGCAGCCTCAGAATGCGAAGCGCTTCTGTACGGTCTTTACACTGTTATATTATGGATTTGACGCGTTACGATCTCGCACTGTACATGATCTATTCTTCGAACTGAACATTTCAAACCACTCAAATGGCCCGAGATTAGTCGCCGTGACTCACGGCGCCTGGTTAATATACATTGGTGCACGTGTCCATCTCATCGAGTACGCCGTAATGTCGCATCGGCGGTCGGTGAAGAGCTCGGTGGTCTTCGAGACCACCTCCCTACCACACTTGACCCAAATGAAAATTATTAGCCATCAACCGGGCAGTAATGGAAAATCTTCACTTCCTGCGTTTCAGCCGCGATCGGACTCTGAGCGACGGTTCGTTCCAACCAGGTGCTATACGTCACGATGCATAATCTCGCCTCGGTCTAGAATATATTCCGATCCAGGCAGTTTCTACCTAGACTCTAGAGGATGATTTGTATTGAAGGATATGGATAGAAAGTTTTTATTATGCAGACCGGCGTTTTCTAGGGACATTTTTCGGTGTTGATTTCAGCACATGTACTTACCACAGAAGACATCTATCTACATGTTGCCTTTTCTATTACTATCTAAACACGGACCCGCGAATTGGAACGATATTAATTTATTAATTTGTAATTTTTCTGTGGCGGGCATACAATCCATACCCATGCCCCGTTCATTCTAAGCATGAACACTAGCTCTAAAGAATTTGCTGAAGCGAGATAAGAAGTCCGCAATCGAAGGCCAGGAAAGAAAAATTAATCGATCAATAAAGTATAACCAAGAAGAGCATGGCAGCGATAGGAGAAGCATTTCATAAAAAACATCTGAGACAAAATCCGTTCACACGTTACGTTCCAGATTTTCAAGCGCAGGGCCGACTTTCTACATAATAACTTCGTTGGCGACGTCCTGTAGTGCTGAGTTAGCTTGTGCTCATATTTAGAAGACGAGTAAGAGGGAGAGATGGAGAGGAGGATACGTACGCGCTTCAGTTCCTTGTAAGGCAGACAGACACAGTTCTGGACGCGCACCTCATCGCCCACAGCGCACTCCTTGCCCAGGATGGTGATGCTCTGGACCTTGACGCCGTGCTTGATGATGCTGGTCGAGTGGCTGGCCATCGGGACAGGCGTACCCTCCACACGGGCCCAGGCGCCAACGCGACCGCTCCAGCCGATGATCGAGTGCAGCACGCAAGCGTCGTGCTTAATCTCGGCATCTTCCAGCACAATCGAATCCTTGATACGAGCACCTGCGCCCACGACGACGCGAGGTCCGATGGACACGTTGGGGCCGAGCTTGGCGGTGGGGTCGACGGTGGCGGAGGGGTGGATGTAAACGGGGGGCACGATGGAGGCGGAAGGGGGGGTGAGCTCTTCGGACTGAGCCTGGAAAGCCTTCTGGAGGTACAAAGCATTGGCGGGCACCGCGGAGCCGGCCGTCTTGATCTGGCGCCAGAAGTCCTTGGTCTCGTGAACGAAGAAGCGGTTGCTGTCGGCCAGATCGGACAGGATGTCCTGTTCGAGACGGAGGACTTCGCTCTTCTCGGCGTCGTCCTCGGCCGCGACGAACGAGGATTCCAGGTTCTCGGACGAAGGGTATGAGAGCAGGCGGGGCCGGGTGGTGCGACGCTTGATGGCGCTGCGGATTGAGGGGAAGATGCATTCGGTGGCGAAGAGGTAGACACCGCAGTTGATGAGGTTGGAGATGTGCGACTCGGGTTTCTCGACGTAGTGCAGCACGCGCTTGGTGTGCGCATCGGACACGATGCAACCGAAGTTGGTGGCAGCATCGTTGTTGACCCGGGTTCCGAGAATGACGGCCTCCGCATCCTTCTCTTCGAACAGCTTGAGCATCTCCCCGAGCGGGAATGAGCAGCAGACATCGGCGTTCAGGACGAAGAAGCGCTCGGGCTTGCCCTTGAGAATGGCATCGCGGAAGTGGTAGAGACCACCGGCGGTACCCAGAGCCGTGTATTCGCGCAGGTATTGAATCTTAAACTGGGGGAACTCCTTGGCGGAGTCCTTGATGAAATCACGGAAGACCGTTTCGTCATAGTAACCGACCAGGATAACTTCGCGAATATCGGGGATCTTCGCAAGGGCTTTCAAGCAGTGATGAATGATAGGGTGTCCGGCGACTTCGAATAAGGGCTGTATGGTAGATCAAATGGTAAGCAACCGTGCGTAGACGCCGGGGAGGGGGGGTGCAATCCGCAAGCGGGAGGGAGGGGTTGGAGGGAAATAGTTAGTTTCAAGGACGGAGGAGGGGCAGCAACCGACCTTAGGTACATCGAGAGACAGAGGCCTGAACCGAGTTCCTCTGGACGGACCACCGACCTAAAATCGAGTAGCGAGGTCATTAGTGAGCTGAGTGAAAGGAGACAGATTTCCAATGCCGCCTACCAAGATCACGGCCTTTGTGGAGGCCACGTTGGAGTGCTCCCGAACAGGGACTTGAAGCATTGAAGCGACGAGGGGAGTTGAACACAACGAAAAAGGAGGCGGAGGAGTGGAAGAGGAAGAAGGACGAGGTCTGAGAAGCTGAAGCAGAAAGATTTAAGCAGCCAGCAGCTTTGAGAGAGACTCGAGAGGGGCGATGGAGACTAACTCGTAGTTAAACACTGAACTAGACTAGTCGACGAGGAGGACGAACAAAGGAGGCCCACCGCCCGCCGGGCAGCAGCGACCTCCAGGCTGGTCACGGGTGGTACCTTACCTTGCCGTGTTAGCGCTGCGGAGGAAGAGGATCCGTGGTTTGGTTGGTGGTGGAAAGGGGGAACTTCACCGCTTTCGGTCGGCCCTGCCCCAGGTGGGCCTCTTCTATAGGCACAGTACTGTACATACCTGCTAAGCATCCACCGTCTTCGGACAAATTGAACCTCATCCTTTGATGTTCGTCTACGTTAGAATCACGCACCTCGACTTCTACCTAAGATCGGCCTTTCAAGTTCGTACCAGCGGCAAAGCAACTTGTTGAATTAAAGAAAAGGCTGCTAGTAATTAAGGTATGGATACAAGCTAAGAGAAACCTTCGCCGATGCGGTCAAGCTGCTTTTGGTTGGGGAGAATAGCAGCACTAGTTATTCCTCACCTTCTTCGACATCCGCACTAAAGTCGATATCCTCGTCTTCGTCCTTCGGTCTGAAAAATTTGGTGGCACGCCAACAAGCAAAACGCGGAATAAGCGCTGCCATCTCCTCAAAGAGTAGATCAGTATTGATAGCGAGTCTTTGAGACACATCGAGGTTCGGGAAGTCATCGTGTAGTTTCAAAGGGATCAGGTCTCCAGCATAAATGTACGGTACGGAATTTCGGTCAGGGGTGGGATATAGGCGCTGTTGAAGAATATTCAGGATTAGTTGTCACCACTTTTACTGCAAGTACCTAGAACAACTTACAGTGCGGCCACCGCGTAGTCGTGGCTCAGAGTGAATCAATTCCCAAAGCTCGAGGTCGGCTTCAATGGTGCCGATCCAATCTTCAACTTTGATTTGCTTTCGGACGTGCTTTTCCGTATAAGGGTCGGCCGTGACAGACGCATCATGGGCGCTATTCTCCAAGTATGTGGCATGTTTCTGTTTCCCCAGGTCGTTGCCGAAGCGCAAGAGGAGTCTAGCCGCGCGGTCTCGAAAACCCGGATCCGTGCGTGAGGTGCGATACTTTTTGTCTTCCTTGATCTTGAGTAGAACAACCAGTTGCGCAGGCTCATAATGCTTGAAGTATTGGAGCATATCTCGGTGAAGATCTTCTCGAGATTCTGAAAATCCGGTTTCCATCATGATTGTGGTAGAGAGCTCACCATCACCAGGGTGACGAAAGGTGATTGTGTGATCAGGTATTTTGGTTCGCAGCTGCGGCTTGATTCCTTTTCCTTTGATGATTCCGCTGCAATCAATACTCATTTTGTGGTTTGAGAGATAGCGACACAATTCACGCGGTAGGATCGTTGAACGCTGGTCGAGAATGTTCTGCACGAGACTATCAACGACAGAATTCAATGGGCATTCTCCCATGATCACCAAAATGCTGCCGCAGTAGAAGTATCGAACCCGATAGGTATCTAGCACTCGGATCAACTTCGGCGAGTCCTCGATGTCAAGGCGGGTGTTAAGAATCAGTTTGTCCACCTCGAACAAGCTAGTTTGGATGAAAGAAACGACTTCTGCTATAACTTGGTTGAGGCGCGTGCTTTTCTCTGTGGGCTTCGATATGTTCATGCGCATCCCCGTTGGGGAAGCCTCTAAGGTTGTAATTGTAGACATGTTTGGAGGTGAGGACATGATGGCGGCAAGGTAGCTGCAAAGCAAAAGGCACTGAAATGGGTTGGACGATAAATCGAGATTCTGCGGCAGGAGCGATGTGAAAGTTGATTGCGAGTAGGAGCGTGGGTTTTCACAGATTTTCGAAGTTGTGTCATCAAGGTGTCAGGCTCGGAAGTAGGAAGAAGACGAGCCTTTGCAAGCACGTGGTAATGAACCAACTTCTAAGGTCGAAGGGGTTACAATCCATGCTTAACCTTGCATACTCCAAGAACTGATGTAAAGTTTTTGACAGTATTGCCGTAGCTATTTAAAGTGTATTATTGAGGGGCGCAAGCATTTTGTAGAGGGTCTCAAATTGACGTCACTAAGGTCTCACTTCTCACTTGAAGATAGTTTATAAACCCATACAAAGTACTTCTACTTTATTGACTTCCACTTTAGTTAAATCCTATATAAAGTTTGAGTGAGAAGTAATATTTCAGTAAAGTCAAAGTAAAATCTATCAAACTCTTTTTAGTTGTAAGTAAAAAATAAAGTGGAAGTCAATACAGTGGAAGTACTTTGTATAGGTTTGATAAACTATCTTCAAGTAAGAAGTAAGACCTTAGTGACATTAATTTGAGGCATTCCAGACGGATTGGCTGATGCTTGGTGAAGTGGGTCTTTCACTAATTACCTATGTCAAGGATAATACTAGCTTAAGCAGTTCGAGTCTTATTTTCGTCCTTGTCCTCCGCAATCAAAAAGAAAAAAAGAGCTGAGTTCTCAGGAACTCTGCGCATAAGGCTCGGTATAGTTTAGTTGAAAGCTGTGAGAATGCTAAAGTACAAGACTTTCTAGTTATGGCTGTGAAGTCACGAAGTCTTGTCTAAAGTGAACTCCTAAATCGGGCTTATTAGTAGTACAGAGAGGGTATATTCAGAACATGCCATAGCCACTATTGTTTTGATATGTTTTAGTAGTTCCTCGTCTGTTTAAGCCGATTCTAAGTGGGTCAAATGAATACGGCATGTCAGTTGCAGCTTTTCAGTGAATGGTCGTCGTGCCGCTAGTACTAAAGAGCTTCGCAAGGGTTGCTGCAGGGCTGTAAATTGATCTATCAACTCCACGGTCGGCTGTATCTCTACCACTCTAAGTGAATGTGTTATTCACAGCCTTCTGTGTGTGTGACAAGATAATATACTGCCGGTGTTGCTCTGTCAACTTCCCTTCCACACCCCCTCGGTATAAATCTGCCTACTTTTGGATCTCCTTTCCTTTCACTTCATCAATATCATCATCTTCTTCTTCTCTTCCAAGCCATTCCAAACAACGTAGCTATCTGGTTTACTCACTCTATGGTGGGGGACTATTCTCCAAGACTTTGCTCGGCTTTCTGATACCATTTTTTCCATCTTCTGTGTGAAGCGTCTATACCTATAGCCTCCTACAGCCTCTCATTCCCCCTACTTCGGTTGAAATCCTTGCGATCTCCGTGTCGAAATTACCTTTGCTCCAGCCACCGTCTGTCAAGATGGCGGAGCATTTATCGAGTAAGTGGTAAATTCTTCTATCAAACTGGTCACTTCTGACTCACGTCCCCAAGCCGTGATACGAGCCAAGTCGGCCGAAATGTCTGGTCCAACGGCAGTGAAAAACGACTCGATCAATATCATCACTCACGACATGAAGACACTGGTGAAGAAGATCCAGGATCTGCGGCACCTCGGTATCGAAGACAGCCAGATTGCTCTCCCCAGAATATGCGTCATCGGCGATCAAAGTGCGGGCAAGAGCTCTCTGATCGAGGGCATGAGCGAGATCAAAGTCCCACGCGCGGCAGGAACCTGCACTCGGTGTCCAATGGAGATTAATCTCACTGAAAGCGACCAACCTTGGACGTGCCGCGTCTATCTATCAAGGAAATACTTTTATGACACAAGTCAAAGAGTTGATAAAGTATCCAAGAAGACACATCCTTTCGGTCCTTGGCATGGTCAGGATCAAGAGGATGAGCTTTTCATTACCTTGAGCGATAGAGATGATGTCGAAGAGGCGATCCGATGGGCGCAACTGGCCATCCTGAACCCAATGAGACCGACAGCTGAGTACATTCCTGGGCAGAATTTCGAAACAGATGAGAATTATTGCCAGGCCAAGTTCTCACCCAATGTAGTGCGACTCGATATTTCCGCTCCTGGCTTCCCGAGTTTGTCATTTTACGATCTACCTGGTGTTATAAGCCAGGCCGAGCACGAAAGGGACAGATATCTGGTTGCTATGGTCGAGAATCTTGTTAAAGAATACATTACTCAAGCAAACTGCATCGTGCTGTTGACCTTGCCGATGACAAATGATGCGACCAACTCGAGTGCCGCTCGCCTCATGAGGGAGGTAAAGGGTGCAAAGGCGAGAACTTTGGGAGTGCTTACGAAGCCCGATCGAATCCAATCCGGGGAGTCATACGTTCAATGGCTGGAGATTTTGGAAGGAGACAAATTCAAGCTTGGACACGGCTACTACGTGATCCGCAATAATCCAGACCCCACGATCCAGCATGCTCAAGCCCGTTGTGAAGAGGACGCGTTCTTTGCTTCAGAGCCGTGGGCAACAGAACTTGCCGCATATCAAGAGAAGTTTGGAACCAGGAAGTTGCAAACAGCACTCTCAAGCCTTCTACTGGACCAAATTCAAGGTTGTCTTCCTAAGGTCATCGAACAGATTGAAGCCAAATCTCAACGTATCGATGCTGAGCTCCAAACCTTGCCGGATCCTCCTTCGGCGAGCAGTCCATTTATTCTGTGTCAGATGCTGAACAACTTCAGGGAGCGCGTGCAGGCGCATATGGACGGCGGCTCGGTTGACTATCCGCTGCTGAAGATGTGGTCTCATCTAGCAATCGACTTCAAAAGGGTGCTGATACAGACCCGGCCAAGTGTCAAGATATTCTCTCAAGCCGAGGAGCGTGAGAAAGCGATGTACAGTCAGAAGGGTGATGACTCAGATAGCGAAGTCACTATAGTCCATCCCCCTCCTTCAACTCCAGCAAAGCGCAAGGCCCTGAACCACGGCGATACACCGGGTGCCAAGAGGAGACTTACACCGGACTTGAGCAGAGTTAGCTCGACTTCGCCATTTGATAAGGTCAGTCGCGAGATCAAGAATTTCACATGGGAAGAGATTCGGGAATGCAACGAAACTGCCTCGCGAGGGTGTCTTCCAGACCAAATCGATCCAAAAGCAATCGAAATACTGAATCAGCGGAGCGTGAAACACTGGAAAGCGCCATTGACCATATTCTTGGATGAAAGCCATAAGCTAGTGAAAAAGATACTGCTGGAGCAAGTTGATGAGGTCTTTGTGCAGTATCAGCGGACTAACCTCTATCGCGAAATACGCCGAATTGTAGAGCAATACTTACGGAAGCTTCACCAGCAGCACATCAACTGGGCAGAAGAAGTATATGAGATGGAACATAACAATCCTTTTACGATGAACGGAATAGCGCTAGAGCAGGCCAAGAACCATGGGTTTGGTGTTCTCGTACGCGCTCGGAACAGCAATCGCTACGCTTTGTACCAAGACCGTATGGGCAGATACCCACAGGGGGATATTCGCCGTGATAACGAACTCAAGAGCATGATCGAGAAGCCACAGGAGTTGGAGGCAGCACTTGGTCCGGATCTGTACCTCCCGGAAATGAGGATCATGGCAGTAGGTTGAGATTCATGGGGATCTACGATTACGTGGCTGACTGCCCTCTCCTTCAGTATGCGCGAGGTTACTATGATGTTGCGAGCTCTCGCTTCGTCGACTTGATCTGCCAGAGCACCCATACAAAGCTCTTCTCCAAATGCCGCGGTCAATTGATTGAAGAGATTCAACGCGAGCTACACATCAACGATCATGACAGTGAGTGTTGTTTATGTTTCGAGCAGGGCACCTGCTAACGTTCCGCCCCTAGTGTTTGAGAGATGCTGCGATCTCATGGCAGAGGAGCCAGAGCGCCAACATCGCCGACTGGTTCTCCAACGCGAGAAGGAGAAGATTGTCAAGGCGCAGACATGGTTGTCGGCTGCCAAGAAGGACGAGCCCGAAGACGTGTACGACAATATGACGGTCAAGTCCCAACCCCAGGATGATTGGGCGCCTTTCTCTTCGAGTCTGGATACGTCTGTGTGAGAGTCTATATGCAGACGAGTGATTGGGACAATTGATTAGAGCCAGAGACAAGAAACTTGGGGTGGGTTGAAGGGTGAAAGGCGGGGTACGCGGATGTAGAAAGAGAGAGCGATAAATCAAAACCCCATCCGCATGCCCTAAGCCCTAAGCCCTGCCTGCCAATGATAAGGATTGATAGCGTTGGGATCGAATTGTACACTATACTAGTTTACAGAACGAAGATCTTAAGTAACCAAAATGTTCAAGATCGGGATGCTACTCCGTGTTGCTGTAATTCTCAACTCTAAAGATGTCATCTCGTGCAGAGGCAGCATTTCTTTCTCAGCCTGAGGCAGCAATAGCCCGACAAGCCGTGAAATTGAGTCATCCATGATTGAATCGAAGGAGGGGTGGGCGTGGGGGAGCTGCCCCTCCCTACCCAATCACCATCGCCCGCCTTGTCTCCCGCCCAAAATTCTCTCTCGCCGACTTCCAACCCACCAAACCCGCTGCTCCGTGTGTCATCTCCTTTCCCCTCCTTCTCTCCAAACGTCTTTCATTTGTCATAGAGGAGTCTAAGTCCCTGTTGCGGTACTTTAAGCCTCACTGATTCATCATGGCCGACAACACTGCTGTCCAACAGGCTGAGGCCTCGTTGGCCAACCTTATCCTCGACGAGGTCACCGGAGAGAAGGTCTCCAAGTCCGAACTCAAGAGACGCCAGAAGCAGCGTGAGAAGGAGGCCAAGAAGAAGGAGCGTGAGGCTGCTGCTCCTCCCAAGCCTGTCAAGAAGACCTCTGCTGAAGACGATGAGGCCAACCTGACCCCCAACGTAAGTCGTACCCCGCCATCGCCTGAGATATGCCGTCGCGCAATACTTGCTAACCATATTCGATAACTTGAACAATTATAGCAATATTTCGAGATCCGCAGCAAGAGAATTAACAAGCTTCGCGAGACCAAGCAGCCCGACCCCTACCCCCACAAGTTCCAGGTCACCGATGACCTCCGGAAGTACCTCAAGGAGTACGAGGGTCTCGCCAAGGGCGAGCAGAAGCCCGATGTCACCGTCCGCATTGCTGGTCGTATCTTCACCAAGCGCGCGTCCGGTTCCAAACTGATCTTCTACGATATCCGTGCTGAGGGTGTCAAGGTGCAGGTCGTCTGCCAGGCTCAGAACATTGCCGGCGACGCCTCGTTCGAGGCCCAGCACGAGCACCTTCGCCGTGGCGACATTGTTGGTATTGTCGGTTTCCCCGGTCGCAGTAACCCCAAGAACCGTGAGGATGGTGAGCTGTCCATCTTCGCCTCAGAGGTTGTTCTCCTCGCCCCCTGCTTGCACGCCATCCCCTCCGAGCACTTCGGTCTGCAGGACAAGGAGCAGCGTTACCGCCAGCGCTACCTGGATCTCATCATGAACGACCGCTCCCGCAACGTCTTCCTCACTCGCGCCAAGATCGTCTCCTACGTTCGCAACTACTTTGACAGCCGCGACTTCGTCGAGGTCGAGACCCCCATGATGAACGCCATTGCCGGTGGTGCCACCGCCAAGCCTTTCATCACCCACCACAACGACCTGGACATGAACCTGTTCATGCGTGTTGCCCCCGAACTGTACCTGAAGATGCTGATCGTTGGTGGTCTGGAGCGTGTCTACGAACTGGGTCGTCAGTTCCGTAACGAGGGTATTGATTTGACCCACAACCCCGAATTCACCACTTGCGAGTTCTACTGGGCCTATGCCGATGTCCACGATGTCATGAACTTGACCGAAGAGCTTGTCTCTGGCTTGGTCAAGCACGTCACTGGAGGCTACGAGACCACTTTCCACACCCAGTCTGGTGAGGTCTACAACGTGAACTGGAAGGCTCCCTGGCGCCGTGTGGAGATGATCCCCGCTCTGGAGGAAGCCACCGGCGAGAAGTTCCCTGCTGGTGACCAGCTCCACACCGCTGAGACCAACGAGTTCCTCAAGCGCATCCTCAAGAAGACCGGTGTTGAGTGCTCTCCCCCCATGACCAACGCCCGTATGCTCGACAAGCTGGTTGGCGAGTTCATTGAGGAGACCTGTGTCAACCCCACCTTCATCACTGGCCACCCCCAGATGATGTCTCCTCTGGCCAAGTACCACCGCGAGAACGTCGGTCTGTGCGAGCGTTTCGAGGCTTTCGTCTGCAAGAAGGAGATTGTCAACGCCTACACCGAGTTGAACGACCCCTTCGACCAGCGTCTCCGCTTCGAGGAGCAGGCCCGCCAGAAGGACCAGGGTGATGACGAGGCCCAGCTCATTGACGAGAACTTCTGTACCAGCTTGGAGTACGGTCTGCCTCCCACCGGTGGTTGGGGTATGGGTATCGACCGTCTGGTCATGTTCTTGACGGACAACTACAGCATCAAGGAGGTTCTGGCCTTCCCCTTCATGAAGGATGACAAGACTGCTGCTGAGACCAAGAACGCCGCCGAGATTGTTGGCATTGAGCCCCAGCCTGAGGAGGGTATCCGTAAGTCATTTTGATCTACAGTCAGAGAGACCCCTGTGCTAACCAAATTCAGCCCACAAATAAACGCACTGTGATGAATAATTTCGGACGATAGTCAAGCTGATGATGACGTGTTGCATGGGTTTCTGGGATGTCGATGAAGAATTCATTCAATTATAAATCAGGACAGATTATAATGGGTCTTCAGTCTCCTACAAAATTAAATGAATATGAAATGCATGTTTTCGGTTTCCCAGGCTAGAAATCACAAGTAGTATTAATTTGCTGTTAATCTTTGTCGTTATGCCATTCCATCCCTGCGTTTTGTGAAAAATATAACAGTGCCGATGCATCGAGCTGCACGTCTAATTAAGGAATCTGCATATACCTTCCCGAATCTCAAAGCTGTGTCGAGCTCTATACCTTTGTCTATCTTGTCTTCCCTCCAATGAAGGCTGCCAAGTACCAGATACATCCTGTGCGGACAAATCAATGAACGTCTTATGTTCTACATTATGGTTCTGAGCACTAATGCTTGGGGAAATTGCCTTATCAGAGAAGGTATGAGTTACAGGCCACAAAAATGTCAGGTGTTGAGGATGGTCGGCTTCTAGGCTTGGAGGACCTTGCCAGAGAATCTCATTTATATGACCTCAGAGATATAGGTTCCATGACTTTTTATGTGTGCGCGAGCACCACCATATGGCATCGGGTAAATAATAAAATTCTCAGGTAATCTTCGCATTGATACAAACCGAAGCTTCGCGCCGGATGTTTCCCTTCTCCGCCAAGGGAGCGGGAAACGACGGCTATTTCCGTTTACCCTCCTGGTCTCCGCTCCAGTCCTCCCCTCGTTGTGTTTCTCTCTCTTTCACGCGCACAATCGTTCGGTATCCATCTAGGCTGATTCCCAGGCTCCCGCATTCTACGATTCCGGCCTTGCTGCCAAATTCTTGTGTCGGAATTTTGACTTGTTTCTGCGATGTTATTGGTTGAGCTGGAACTCCACCCATCATGGAAGTCAGGAGGCCGTCCGCCCGCTACGGCGACACTCCGACGCGGACCTACCAACGGACCTACAAAGCCTGTCTCTCGTGTCGGCAACGCAAGGCCAAATGCAACCTCGGAACCGACCAGGACGGCTTTCCGATAGGGCCTCCCTGCGCGAAATGTCGAAGGGAACAGAGGGAGTGCATCTTCAGTGAGAAGCGGGCGTGGGAAAGAAGCAATAAACGCGGTAGGTGTTCCGCTATGCTGGTGCTGGTGCAGCTATAACCGTCTCTGCTTGTGCATGACTTCTTTGTATCAGTTATTGCTCTAGAACCGGAGGCTAACTCTTTTCAATAGGTCTTTCGGAAGATGCACCCATGCCGTCGCCAAGTACACGTCGCAGGTTTTCGGACCATACCAGACAGGACCGGGAGCGACCCGATGACGTTTTGAAAGTTGGCGCTGACAGCCCCTTTGGTAATGGCAGCATGCCTGAGAATGAAAGCGGGGGATCGCATACGATTCACACTTCCGAAACACAGGCTGGGCGCCGCGATCTTACTCATGATGTGCTACAAGTGTTTGATGATCGTACCATGGACAATAGCACTACTGGTAGAAGTAACAGCTCGCTTCAGTCGCAACCGTTTGATATCCGACGGACTCGGCGTCGAAGCGTGCCAGAGGATGTCTTACAAGTTTTTGACGAAAGAGTAGGTAGCGAAGGCACTGAACCACAACACGACAGTAGGAGATCGCATCACTCTTCTGTTCCTGAAATATACGCAAACCGGACACGGAAATTGCCGAATAACATGCCGCAAGGGATGGAGCAGCGTCCAGGCGGGGATAACAGCAACCATGCAGATGGTGACAGAAGCTTCCACCACTCTTATGACACTGAGGCGCGCTCGAGCCAGCACCCAGCAACGTCGAATCTGGCGAATTCAATGATGCGGACCGTGGTCTCGAGTGGAAATGATGCTTTGAATATTCTTTTTGAGGCCGCCGTAGCCCACAGCCAGGAGAATATGGCTAATGAGTTTCAGTCGCAATCACAAACTACACAGGAGAATGCCTCGCATGGCATAGGCGTGGACAGTAGTACCATGAACCCGCCGCAGTTCAAGTACCCTGCGGAAGCCTTGGCCAAGGCGAAGCGCCCGGTACAGCTTTCGCCTGCATCGGAAGAGGTGCTCAAGGTCTGGGAGACCTGCCGATTCGTCAGAATGGGGTGGTTCACATCAAGAGAAGCAGTGACCTTGATTGACCTGTACGTATATCTACTTCGACCTGGTCATAAACATATCTTGACGCTTGCAGGTTCTTCAAGAACATGGTTCCTCTATCCCCAATCTTGACCAACTTCTATGCCGATCATGGTAACCACCAACATCTAATTACTTGTGATCCGGCTTTGTGTTGCGCTATATTGATGCTATCGTCTCGGTATCATGTGTTGCCCGGGGCTGGAGGCGAGTCCCGGAACTTCTTTATTCACCACCGTCTGTGGCAGCATTGCCAACATCTCGTGATGCGACTGGTATTCGGGCAGGAAAGATCGTCGCATGCGAAAAATAGAAGCATTGGGACCATTGAAGCACTGCTCTTGATGTCGGAATGGCATCCCCGGTCCTTGCACTTCCCACCTGGAAGTGACGGTTGGGACTCAGACTTGGTTCTGGTCCCTGGGCCTCAGAATCAAGATGATTCCTCGTCAAACCGATGGCTGGAAGACATAGTCGAGCCTGCCAGAAGATCAGATCAGATGTCCTGGATGTTACTGGGATCCGCGCTGTCGCTAGCACACGAGTTGGGGATCTTCGAACTCGATGATAAGAAATGCGACTATGCGTCATTATATGAGGGTTTTATCTCAAATGATCAGATCAAGCTGCGCAGACTTCGAGTGCAGCGCCTTCTATACGTCTACATTAATCAGCTGGCTTGGCGGATTGGATGTGTTTCACTCATGCCGCAGAGCTTGAATCATACGATACTCGGTCGGCAGACGACTAGAGATGTGAGCCATTCAGAAGATGAATGGTTGGCGCTGATGGACTCTTGGATGGATCTCACAAAATTGGCCAAGAATGTGACGGATATGTTCTTCCCTTCGATAACGTTCGCGAGGCAACAGCTGCACAGTGGGCGCTATATCGACTTGCTAGACCACTTCTGCCCTCTTCTGCAGAAATGGAAGGAGCAGCATCTTCGGCATGACGGTATGTGTTCCTTGGGTACTGCGAAACCAGTCTTTGCCATGAAATGCTGATTGATCTATGGTGCAGTGCTTAGCAAACATTTCTACGACATTCTCTTCATTGAATACAACTTCGTGCGGGTCTACACGCACTCAGTGGGGATGCAGGCAGTTGTGGAGCGCATAGTTGCGGACAACGACGCGAACGTGGAAGAAGTCCGCGCTATGCATATCGATCCCATTGACTACAACTATATTCAGGAAGTGATTGATGGATGCTGTAAAATTCTGCAGAAGGTCATCGAACTTGGTGACTCAGGAGCTCTGCGGTTCTCTCCGGTCCGAATCTTCTTGAGAATCACCAGTTCCTCTATCTTTCTGATGAAAGCCCTAAGTCTAGGCACTCGTCCAGCAAGACTGCGCGAGTCACTAGATATACTGGAGCGCTGCGTCCAGGTGCTGAAGTCGAATGCTCTTGACGATATCCACCTGAGCACCCGATACGCCGAATTGCTGGAAATGCACGTGTCGCGCCTGCGTCGAAACCTGCTTGCATCTTCCAAATCTGCTAAGAACAGTCATGGAACCACGACTCGCAACTCAATGGTTCCTCAACAGAGCACAGAAAGTGACAATCCTGCCCCCATGGCCGAGACCCCTGTGTCGCAGAGCCTGGCGGACGTGAGCCTGTTTCCCCAGCTCAACGATATCGCCGGGGATGATTGGCTTTCTCTACCATTTGATCCGTCGATGGCACCCTTTGGAATCAATAGTTGTGGGCAATTTCCTGCTTATGGAGGAGGAGCGTTGAACTTCATCTGGAACTTGCCATCGTAGTTGATGCCATCTATTTTGAGGCTGGACCCACTTCCTGTACTATGTACTGAAGAATAAAACTTTATCATGCATTATCTTGCTTAGCGAGCTCACTTTGTTGATTCAAATATGCCGCAGATATGTAGTGCCTCCATGGTTGTGAAGTATGAGCGGAAAGCTCAACGCTATGCATAGGCTGAGCGACGGATTGCGTTGACTTGACGTGGAGCTTTGTAAGGCCAAACATGGCAAATGTAGCGCACATCTCCAGCCTGTTGTAAGGTAGACAACACAAAGGAAGAATGTATAGCACACTCGCTAGCAACAACCGACACTGATCTCTTATCATCAGCATGGCGTCAGAGAACACAAAGCCGGATGAGTCGGCCAAGCAAAGCGCTCGGGCCTTTTGACTCTTAAGAATAGCACGCAAGGACAAGAGGAGAGAAAGAAAACTTTGATCGAATCCCTGTCAGTTGGGATGCATATTTTCCTCCTCGTCTTCCCGACTCGCCACTCATAGACTGGGTTCGGACTGGGTTGGACAATGTTTGGAAGGGAGATTCCGGGCTGGTTATCGGCACGTGATCTGGGACTGGGGGTACCAAGTCACGTTTTCCCGGCGAAAAAAGCCAGAAACTTATTGTTGCGATCCGCCTTCGCTCTCCGTTCCCCGACCCCAGAGTTTGTCCATTAAAGACTGCATCTGCCAGCCTGTTGTGCACCACCTTGACTCAATCTCCCGACCCGATCTCTCTCCCTGCAACTCGCATCACACTTCCGTCGAGTTCGATTTTACGGCACTGCGAAACCACCGTCCTCTCAACCTCAACCTCTTACTCGACGTTGTAGCTCCTGCCACAGCTACTTGACTCTCTCCGGGCACGCTCGCCATTTGACCTCTCCCCCCACCTCCTCTTCGCTTTAATCCATATATCGCAATGGATCACTCCAGAGATCCCTGCCCCTGGGTTGCCCTGAGCGACTTCGGTGGTGCTTTCTGTATGGGTGTACGTCATCAATGAACTCCCAAGCTGAATCACGCTCCAGCTGCATTTGCATTCCGCATCGAGTACACCACTAAACTGTTTCCTTTTGTATAGGCTATCGGTGGTGCCGTCTGGCACGGTGTCAAGGGTTTCAGAAACAGCCCCTACGGAGAGCGTCGGATAGGTGCCATCACAGCCATCAAGGCTCGTGCGCCCGTCCTCGGTGGTAACTTCGGTGTTTGGGGTGGTCTCTTCTCGACCTTCGACTGTGCGATCAAGGGTATCAGAAAGAAGGAGGATCCCTACAATGCCAGTACGTTTTTTTATCCGTTGTTGTACAGATGTGCACGAAAGCGGCGCGGCATCGCGCGCGTTTCATGAGATGACCACATAGCTAATTTTATTTCCCCCTAGTTATTGCTGGTTTCTTCACTGGTGGTGCTCTGGCTGTCCGTGGTGGTGTCAAGGCTGCTCGTAACTCGGCCATCATGTGTGCTGTCTTCCTGGCTGTTATTGAGGGTGTCGGTATCGGGTTCCAGAGAATGATGGCCGACAACACAAAGCTCGAGGTGAGAATTAATTCCGGTTTTGTTGTCCCGGGGCATGGTTTTGCCAGTGACTTGTTTGGCCAAAGAATCAAGACCCCCGGTGTTTTTTTGGGAAAGTTTATCAGGAGCTAACCTCTATGATTTCATCGACTTTAGCTCCCTCCTCCTCCCCCAACTCCCGAGAAGGCCGTCGCTTAATTGATCCACCACCACCTAAAATCTCCTTTATTTCATGCTAGTTAGGAACGTACGAATCCCCGCGTTGTCAGCAATATGCCCATCTTTCTCATATCCTTATCCGTGGTCTCTCTTCTCTGGTGTTGGGCTGGTTCATATCATTTCAGGATGCATGGTATAGAGGTTTCTTTCGACTCCTTGCTTCGATCCTCCTTCCCTCTCTCCCCCTTATGATGTCTTTTCTATAAAGAAGTGTGGGTTTTTGTCGGCGATTTTGGATGACACAGCCTTGCATCCTTGTGTATTTTTTCTCTGTTGTGTGTTTTTCTTTTCTGAGAGGGGCAATCTCAAAAGAAGAGGTTCTCTCCGGATTAGTCGGGGGGGAACTGTTTATCTTTTCTTATTTTTCTTGTACATTAACATGCAGATATCAGGTATAATGTGATACTTCGTACACAGTGAAGTTTTACCTCTGGTAGTCATTGACTATTGAATATCGGGAAGTTGATTTGTGCAGCAGACTGTGACGGAGTGAGTGAGTGAGTGACGGCCGACGACCCATCCCAATCAGGCAAAGAGCGTGCAGCAGTGCCAGCCGATAAGCCGCGCGCAAGACAATCCATCGACCCCGACCTTTATCCCTCCCCCTCTCAGCGCCTCTTTCAATCGAACTCATAACTCATAACTCCAAAGGCTGCTTGGTCACCACCAGCCTGAATCTTTATTCTCTACAGATCCTACACCCGGTATACGAAAAGAACCAGCTGCCAGCATCACCACCCACAACAATGACTTCTACCTCTCACCCCTCCCATCCCTCCGACCACAACCACAATCCCTCCCCCCCTCCTCCCCCTCTTCAAACCAACCCTCATCCTCCACGGCGGCGCCGGCGCCATCCACCGCGCCACCCTCCCACCCGACCTCTACGCGCAATACCACGCCTCCCTCCTGCGCTACCTGCGCTCCACCCGCGCCCTGTTGGAAGGTGGCGCCTCGGCCCTCGACGCCGCCGTTCACGCCGTCTCCCTGATGGAGGACGACCCGCTCTTCAACTGCGGCCGCGGCAGCGTCTTCACGGCCGCCGGCACCATCGAGATGGAGGCCTCGCTCATGGTCACCTCGGTGCATGCGGGGCACCCCTCGGAAGCGATCGTCAAGCGCGGCGTCGGCGTGATGGGGTTGCGGAATGTCAGGCATCCGATTCGGTTGGCGAGGGAAGTGCTGGAACGGTCGGGGCAGGACGGACGGACCAGGAACAGGGGTGGGGGCAGTGATGGCGGCAGTATGCACTCGCAGCTGGTGGCGCCCTATGTGGAGGATGTGCTGGCCAGGCAGTGGGGGTTGGAGTTCAAGCCCGATGAGTGGTTCTTTACGCAGCGGCGGTGGGAGGAGCATCTGCGGGGATTGCGGGGTGAGGGCGAGACGATCACGATGAGTCAGGGGACGGTGGGGTGTGTTTGTTTGGATCGCGGGGGTGGGTTGGCGGTTGCTACGAGTACGGGCGGGTTGACGAATAAGTTGCCGGGGAGGATTGGGGATACGCCGACGCTGGGAGCGGGGTTTTGGGCTGAGGCGTGGGAGGAGGACGGCGTTGAGGGGATGGGGATGGGGATGGGGATGCGGTATAGGAGGATGGGGTGTGGTGGTCTGGTGGATGGCGAGAAGGGGGAGGGGGACAAGGGGGTTTGGGATCTGACTCTGGGAGATTGTTTGCCGGGGTTTGTGAAGGATGGGGCTGATAGGATGTTTGAGGCTTTGTGGGGAGAGGAGGATGGGTTGGCTCGACGGGGTGACGATGGTGATGATGCTGCACAAAAGTCGGAGAAGGAATGGCTGATTGCGCACCCGCTGGAGCCGACTCCTGCGCAGAAGGGAGACTTGAAGAAGAAACGTGCGGTTGCGGTGTCGGGGACGGGCAATGGGGATTCCTTCCTTCGCACGGCGGCGGCGCGGACGGCTTGCGCCATGTCCCGGTTCTCAACCCCTAAACCCTCGTTGGCTGAGGCTGTCAGTGCGGTTGCTGGGCCCGGCGGCGAGTTGCAGCGTTCTGCGGGGGATCGTTGGGGCTCAACGGGCGAAGGTCAGGGGGGTATTATTGGTATAGAGGCTGAGTTGGAGGATCCCGCGGTCATGGATCATGGTGATGATAAAGACCGAACCAAGCTCCGGCGAGGAAAAGTGGTGTTCGATTTCAATTGCGGAGGGTTATGGAGGGCTTGGGTGGAGGATTCTGGTGATGGGGAGGAAGTTGAGCGAGTGATGGTGTTTAAAGAGGAATATAAATAGAGAAGAGAGAGAGTGTGAGAGAGAGAGAGAGAGTGAGTGAAAGAGAGAGTACTATACTAGTATACATAGCTGGCCTGGTTGATAGCCCCGGCCAATGACCACAAGCTTAAAATCACCAAGAGATTGTTCGGAGGCAGACAGTAACAATGACGGTACTTAGGATAGTCTTCAAGTGCCTGCGCGAAGAAGAATGTGTAGAAGAGTATCCGTAGCGAGTAGCAAGAAGCAAGACAAGCAAAAGCAAAGCAAGCGGAAAGACCACCCCGAAGACCCCACTCACTTACTGTCTCGGCTTGGCGCTTCTTTTCCTCCATCCATCGTCACGTTCCTTTCCTTTCTTCTCTCTCTCTCTCTCTCCCTCCTCTTCTCCTCCCTCGTGTGTTTCTCCTCTCCTCCCCTCTTTCTCATCGCTTCTCCCCTCTTTCGACCAGCGTCACCTCGCCATCTCGTCGCATGCCATCCTCAATTCCATCTCCATAAATCCTACCCTCTCGCTTGACTTTCATTCGCTCCATTTGGTTTATGTCATGCATGCATTGAGCTATACCTTCCCAGCCCACCCCATCTTCCAGTAACCCTCCTAGCGCACGCGTCTCTCCATAACCCTCACCACTCGGCACACTTTCAATCAATTTCCCTTACCGTCAAATTCAGGTAGCCTCGTTTGCCATGGAAGAAAGCGCCTCGTCGCGTCCCACCAACACCCCCGAGGGGTCCGTCGGAGCAGACGATCACAACCCGTCGAGCTCCGCGAAGAACCCAGCCCTCAAAGATCGGCAATGCAAATACTGCCACCAGGCATTCACCTCATCCTCCCTCGGACGCCACCTCGATCAATTCATGTTCAAGAAGAAACCCGATGGCATCCATGATGTCGAGGAGATTCGACGCATCCGAAGTGAGATCACGCGACGCCAGGCCCGCACCTCGTCCGGCAGACGCGACACCCCCGAGCGAACACCTGGCAAACGCCAACAAGACCTATTCGACTCGGGCGACTCGGGCACGAAGCCACGCGACGGCGCGTATAGGATGATGTTCAACACCCCTACGTGGCATGCGACCGGAGTCATCAACGACATCCCGAATCCGAGCCAGGCGCAGGAGGGCACCTCCGCCCATTCGCGCATTGCGCCTTCGCAGTCTCGAACCGGGTCCTTTACCTTCACGGATAGACACAGTTCGAGTAATCCGGACACCATGCGAGCGCTGGAATTGGCTTTGCGCGAGGTGCTAGATAACATCAAGGCTGCAACGTATGACCACCTCCCATCTGGCCCTTTGCGCGTTGTGATAAACGATCTGACATTCTTCATCCCTCCAGCTCTCGAATGCGCCCCCGACTCTCCCCATTTGATTTTGACATCCAATCGCAAACCTTTCCCTCCCTCTGTCTGCAGCTTCTACCCCCTCCGCCCAGCCTGTTCGCAACCAACCCTTTCCCATCGCCTACGTCTTTCCCCCTCCAACCTCCGGGAGTCGAGCACCTTGAAATTGTCCGACAAGCTCTCCGCGCGAAAATTGAACAATGGCAGTCCGACCAACTCTCTTCCGCCGAGTCCGGTTCTCACCCTCATTCCGGCCGCCCATCGACCTACGGGCTCGACTCCAGTATGATCAGCCGCAGCGCCCAACAACACGAAGACCTCAGCCTCCGTCATCTTGAACTCGCCTTCAAGCACTGGGCCTCTTTGTCCCAGGAAATGCGCAAAGATGCTTGGCAACTCGAGATCACGCGCGCTTTCGCTCGCGAAATGGACAAGCGCAAATCCTTGGACGATCAGCTCGCCCGTGTCCAGCAGGAAGCCAACCAACTCCGCGCCCAGGTTGAACGACTCGGTTCCTGCCAATGGCCGCGAGAGTTTGCACTCTTCCCGCCTGACACTTTGCCTCTTCCGCGGGATGTCGCCAAGGAGTTGGATGCGCACCAGAGCCAGATTTCCCCTACCGCATCGAGATGGGATTACGACAGTGTTGTTGCGAAATGGAAGCGAGTTGTGATGCATGATAAGGGAATGGGTCGCGTGGGCGTAGGCTACACAGCCTCCCTTCAGCAGCAGCAACATCAGGATGATCTCCCTCAGATAGCGCCTTCTAGCACAGAAACAAGACAGCAGCGCAGTGCGACGGCCACAGCAGGCGATGACAGTACAGCAAGCAGAATGCTACACCCTCCGACCGGCGCCTCGGCCTTGAGTCCCAATCCTTCCCCAACGAATCCCGCCCCTATTCCTAGCGCAGCACCCGTATCATCATACCCGCAGCAGCAGCAGCAGCAGCAGCAACAACAACAATCACAGCAACACCAGGATTCCGTGACTCGCAGCCCTGAAACGGGCCCTCATGCTAAACGCCCTCGCTTGATGAACGGCCATCATACGGCGACAGCAGCGCCATCCGCTGTGGGACACGACGCCCCAGAGGGCAATGTCCCTAGCTCTGGCGTACCTGTACCATTGTCCTCGCCAACCGTAACTACCGGTGCCGGCAGCACATCGGCCCAGCACTCCACCGGCTCCTCCAGCCTGTGGACCGCCCCGCAACAATCCAGCGGTGGTATCCCCTCTAACCCCACGGGTGCAGCCTCCGGGACTTCCGCACCGACGCCGCCGCCCTCCTGCTCAGAGACGGCTTAATGGGTGTCTGAGGCAACTAGCTTGCCTTTGGCACTCTTCTTATCCCACTGAGTGGGACGCCTCGAAATTTACATCTTCCGGAGAAGACAAATTTACTCTCGTCATTCAGAAAATGAAGGTACAACCGGGTACATTCTCATCACCGACTCAAGGTCACTACATACAACCCTCGATCTATCTATCTATCCACCTCAATCATTATTGAAAATGTGTCCGATCTTAACGTCGGGGAGAAGCAACAGTGGACCCACACTCCCCCACCAGTATAGGTTATAACAGGATGAATCGGGGGGGAGGGGTGGGGATAGAAGCCATCAAGCCATCCTATGCCAAATGAGTGGTCTGTCATCTTGAGGATTGTTTCTGTTGTGTGTGTTGATTCTCCTGTACATACGTTATTATATACATGATCCTTGAGATTGGAATCCCATTCACAGTCTATACTAGCACTTTCAGTGTTCGTGTGAGTTCCCAATTTGAGTCGCTGACTTTGCCACATAAAAAAGCAAATCGCATCTATGACGACGGTAGAACGTTCACTCAACCCAACTCCCGAGGTACCCTGCCTCTCCGCAGCATATGTCGGCGCATGCCAGCAGTATCTCAAACAACCCACCCACTCACCGATCCCCCGTCTTCTCCTGCGGAGCGTTCGCATCCTTCGCCTTCCGTTTACTAAACCACTTCCTGATATCACCGATGCCATGCAGATACAGCCAGGAGAAGAAGAAGACCGCCATGAAGTTGAACACCACGTAGGCCCAGAAGATCCCCTGTTTTGCGCTATCAGCTTCATGTCGACCTGAGACCAAAGGGAAACAGCCCAGCAAGATTGACCAGCAGCCGGGGGAAAAAATAGACTTACATAATCTCGCCATTTATGCGAGTAGAAGACGTTGAAACTCGCGGCCTGGCATGACACGGAGAAAGGATATACGTTAGTTTTCATGCCAGTTCAGAGGTAGGGGCATGGAGAGAGGGACATACAAAGACATCGCCATCGGCGTATTGACAGAAGGCACAGAGTCCGTTGGCCGCGTCTTGGACGTATCCGCCCACTTGCGAGGCGTATGCACCCGCGTATTCCTGACAGGTGGAGCCGGGGGGCGGACTGAAGAGCGACTCTTCGCGGGAGACGCAGCGGACGGGGACGTTGTGGGTGACCACGCCCAGGAGTCCCTCGAGGAGGTAGTGGAAGGGCGTGAGCCAGTACATCCAGGAGCGCCAGAAGTGGATGAGCGCGTTGTAGGGGACGACGACGCCGCAGAAGGAGACGACGAAGGTGAAGAACGTGGGCACGAGGAGGGAGGCGAAGAGCTCGTTGGGCGCGAAGGAGGCGATGAACTGGCCGAAGCCGATGTAGAAGGCCTCAAAGAGCATGAGCATCATCCAGACGTAGCCAGAGCTGAACGAGTCGCGCGGGAACCAGACGCCCCAGTACCTGTGGTGGTGTCTATTAGTTTGCGTGGACTGATGAAGATGGTGAAGAGAGAGGGTTTGCTTGCCAGCAGTTGAAGTAGAGCGAGCCTGCGACGATTGAATACGGCAATTCGGGGAGAACGGCGCTGGTCACGAAAGCTGTCCAGGAATAGATCTTGGCACCGGCCTCCCGAGACTGGTAGAGATCGCGGAAATGGAGGTATCGGGGCTGGAGCTGCTGGATCAGAGGCGGGGAGATGGTGAGGGTCATGAAGATGGAGAATAAACGGGATTGCATGTCGATTTGGCTGTTGCCTAGGTGCCAGAAGGTGAAGGTATTGAACAATCCGGTGAAAATGTGAAGGATGAATTTACCCTGCGAGCTTGTTAAGACTGATGGCTTATAGCAGTTCGAACACCACCTACCAGAACGTATTGCGGCGTCCGCCAGTAGGCAATGAAGGATCGTTTGGTGACCGCCACAATTTGCACCCAGACGGGCATCGCAAATTCGCGGTCATCATCTGTTCGTTCTCCTCCTTCCTTGTCCCGACGTTCTCGGGTTATCTTCTCGATGGTCTCTGAGAGCTGTCTGTGTTCTCCTGAATTGGCCCAGACATCGCCCCAGTCTTGTCCTTTGTACTCAGGGTTTCCAGCACCAATGGCGTCGAGCATGTACTACTTCAGTCAGCGAAATAGGTCGCTGTGATATGGAAGGCTGCAAATACCTCGGCAGGGTTCTCGTGCGAGGCACACTTCCTGGCGCCATTGCTTTCGAAATAGTCAATGAGCGTCCTGGAATCTGAGCCCAGCTCAGCGTTGTAAACGACCCTTCCTCCAGCTTGTAGCAGAAGCAAATCGTCAAACTCTTCGAACAAGACAGCAGACGGCTGATGGATCGTGCATAGAATCGCTTGACCAGCATCGGCAAGTCGTCGGAGAAAGCGTACAATATTGTAAGCGGCCAGTGAGTCCAGCCCAGAAGTCGGCTCATCAAGGAAGAGTAACAGTTGTGGCTTGCTTGCTAACTCAACCGCAATAGTCAATCGCTTACGTTGCTCTGGGTTCAGCCCGGCGCCACCGGCCCCGACTGTTGCTCCTGCTATGCCTCTCATTTCCAGCAGATCAATGATTTTCTCGCAATAATCATATTTTTCCTGGATCGAAACGTCGCCTGATTGACGAAGACGGGCCGAGAATCGGAGTGATTCTCTCACAGTAGCTGTAGGCTCATGGATGTCCATTTGCTCAGCAAAGCCAGTGGCTCTTTGGAAACTCTTTGGAAGCGGCCTGGAGAACTCAGCAACAGCGAATGGACTGCTAAGATGAATATACTTACTTGCCATCAACAAGAAATTTACCAGTGACAACACCAAAGTTGACACGCTGCGCTAGGGTATTCAAAAGGGTTGTTTTCCTGAAACGATGGTAAGTCAGAATGTCGACAGAGATTGTTGATTCATAGACTAACCCTGCTCCTGACGCACCCATGAGAGCTGTGAGCCGACCTGGCTTAACGTATCCCTGTACGTCTTGGAGGAGCTTCTTCTGGTCACCTTTATACGGGATGGTATAATTCACATTTTGCCACGTGAAGATAGAAGTACTTTTCGCGATACCCTGAACCTGTTTCTTTGATTCGTCCGAGTTCTTTTCTTGGAGGCTATTGCTGCTCCCAGATTCGATATCACCCGGAAGCTCCTTGTACTTCACCGCATCCTCGATAGCTTTGGGTGCCTCACCGCGCTTGAAGATGGTGACCGTGCTGCCTCCCTTGTTGGGTTTCTGGAGTTCCATGCCTAGCATGGTCAGGACGACGAAGAGTATGAACCAGCCGATGATAATCCCAAAGTTACGCCAGAGATGCGATCGACTGTATGTGAACGCTTCTTCTATATATCTAGATCCCTGAACGACCAGCTGATTCGGGGTGCTTCCTTGTATGGCGCACACTTGATGGCCTGTCTGTGCAGTCGGACCATCTGGGAAAATAGCTGGTGGAACGCATTGTAGGTTGAGACTGTAAAACTCGTTCGACATGATTGCCTCAAAGGCGTATTGTACTGGATTGACCCAAATCAACCATTTGAACCAAGGATGCATCTTCCATGGAGGGATGAGATAACCTGAATTGGTCAGTTGTTGTATGACAATCGATGCGAAGGGCGGGACTTCAATTACCGGTATATACGATCAAAATCTGAATCACGACACCGGTAAGACGTGTGGCTAGAGATATTAGTCCAGGCTCTAGAGTCCCTCAAGATCTTACTTACAAACATCAAGGGAGCCAGCCAAGGCGCCGATGGTTCGGAACAAGGAATACATCGTCATGGTAAGCGTGAATATGAATAGGAAGTTGATAAAGAACTGGGATGCTGTCCTCTGAAGGTTCGACATACTGCGCATGATGGTCAGCTACTATTGCGCTAAACAGGCTAAAGATGGCGTACAAATATACCACCAACTCGAAAAGAGTTACTTGGATGAAAATAATAGGCACATCAGCAACGACCTGAGCCAGAGCAAATGCTGAAGGGCGATAAAAGGAACTTTGGGAATTAGTATCGGTTCCTACTTTTTTGATGCAGTACTCACAAAGTCTTGTGCTTCAGCATAATAGGCCGACTCGAAAAGAACGCCGTAAGTTCAGCCATGGCGAGAAGTGCATTGAATAAAAGGACAAAGAACAATACACCTCCTCGTGTGAAAACACCGGCACTGCCTACTGATTAGAGAGCCCACAACGGCTGGCATAGGTGCGGACAAACCTGGTCTGGGGAAGGTCATAAAACAGACTTCCAACGATCAATGCTTGGAAAGTAAGCATGGCCCATTTGCCGATCAGTGTCTGCTTATCACCATACATGATGAGAAACTGTCGCTGGGTCAATATGATAATTTGTTTATAAAAGGATACTGTGTAATTCTTCTTGAGCTTTTCCCTGGCAACCTCTTGTTCCTCTCTATGGGCCTCTAACTCCTGCTCAAAATCCTCGATATCTTTTTGAGCAGCTTTAGAGATGTCACTGTATCGATATGCTCTTTGGAAATCCTCCCCTGACCGAGGAGTGCGATCCTCCCACCCTTGCTTGACACGCCTGGCAAAGGGATCGCTGACCGAGGTCAGAAAATCCGGGGTTGTCCATCGAGGAGGGCACTCAAATCCCAAGCTTTCGAAGTAGGCTTTTGCATTTTCTGTGCGTCCGTAGTATGCACATTTTCCGTCCTCGATCAACATCACCTTGTCGAACAGGTTGTAAAGGTTTTCCGACGCCTGATACAGTGCCACAAGGGTGGATGCATGGGACATGTCTGTTGAGCTCCTTAGGCTCTGAACATACTCCAGGGCCGTGCTTGCGTCCAGGCCTTTCGTCGAATTGTCCCAGCATTGTGTGCTAGCCTTAGTGACCAACGCTTCGCCGATGGAAACACGCTTCTTTTCTCCTCCGGAAATACCACGGATTAGTTCATTTCCAACCTTTGTGCCGAGCGCATGTTCGATCCAGAACAACTTGGCAATCGTGGACAGGAAGGTTTCCTGATACTGCTTCCTGGTTTCTCCCGGAAGTCGCGACTCCTGGCCCGGTGTCCTACTTTTCAGCGCGAACATGAGTGTATCTCGGACTGTAAGCGTGGCATAATGAAGATCATCTTCGGGGTTATAGAGCACTACGGACGTCAGTCCTGGATCAACAATGCCAGCAACCAAAACAAAAATCGAATACCTTCTGAGCGATATTTATCGGCCATTGTCTCAGAATCTGTGCCTCCATACAGTACATCGCCTTCGACACTCTTGTAGCCGGACCTCTGATTTCCTATCACTTTCAAAAAGGTTGAGCAGCCAGACCCGGGGCGACCCAGCACGAGAAGCATCTCTCCAGGCCGCACGCAACCCTTGTAGGAGAAACAAAAGTCAGAATCATTCTTACAGGAATGAGGTGCAACGCTATCACTCACTGTGAAGTCGTCAAGAATAGTACGCAACGCATTCCCTGAACCATGATGCTTGCGACGAGTGAAAAAGTTCTTGATCAATCGAGGTACGGCAAGAAAGATGTCTGCATTCGTAGGTTGAATGGCAGCGCCTAGTCCCACGCCTTTCACCGTGAGATTCTTCCATACTACGCCGAGATGCCTCGTCTTTTCCTCTTTTGAGTTGGCTTTCCTCTCGTGGCCAAACATGCGGGACACCAGTTTCGCAATCTGAGCGGTATCATCTGCACCACCCCCGGGTTCAGATCCTGACCAAGCGGTTTGTCTCTTGGACAGCACGCGCGCAATATCATCGTCAGTTAATCTCCTGTCGAGAGTGAGCCTCTTTTGACTCCCAGCGACGTGTTCGCTGGCAAGGGTGGATTGATCTTCATAATGGCTGGACCCGGCCTTCGAGATTGACTCGGACGGAGACAAAGAAGTCTGCGAGGGGTTATCCTCGTGCTGACCGTTTCGAACGCGACTGGAGCTGATATTCTGCTCTCTGTCCATGATTTATGATAAGCACGAGACTGGTAATTGACCTGATGGCAATTGAAGATCGAGCTGCGCATTCAAAAAGATATATGGGGAGCACCAGGGGTAGAGTCTGGACCGACGCATTGGAACATACATCATCAGGTTATATTCACCCCTAAAGTCTGATGACGGACATAACCGGATGTACAAGAAGCAGGAAAGAGTAGTGGGGGCTCCGAGAGTCCATTGATCAGCAAACCCAAACTCAAAGCCAACCGATGTGACATTGCGGGCGTGAGAAGGGTGAGTCGGAGTCCGACATGCCGATGCGACGGAAATAGGCGAGTGCTGTTCCGATTCGAGGAGTGGTGCGCATTTCCAAGGTTGACGGTGAGAAACCCTGAGCTGCCAGAGTCCGTGGTGGAGGACGATGCGATGCGATTCAATTGACGTCGAGCATCATGAAGTCATCATCTGCGGCCATCGGGCGAGAACCATGGAATTGGTTTGTGCATCCTTTGAACGCCAAGGGGAGCTGAATCATGCGACATCACGGGTCCTTCCCAACTTGAATACTCCGTCATACCCAGTATAGGTGATTGTGCTATGTCGGGGTTGTCGGGGTTAGTGTAAGTCGTGCTTGGTGTTGTCGCAGCTCCCGACTGGTGATCAGGAGTTTGAGACACACTGAAGGCGCATAGGATCATAGATTCAATGAGGAAGGGAAATGCCTCTTCCTTGTGAAAGGGCAATAACTTGATATGAGACAGACTTGAGATCTAGACTCGATAATAAAGTAGATATGGAGACGAGGTGGAAGTGAAGGTGGAGGTGGAGGTGGAGGTGGAGGTGGAAGTGGAAGTGGAGGTGGAAGTGGAAGTGGAAGTGGAAGTGGAAGTGGAAGTGGAAGTGGAAGGCTTCCCCTTCCCTTTCTTCCCCTCTTCAACTTCCTCACAAACACTGTCATTTTTCGCAACCCCGCATCTACAGACTAGATGATGAGGTTAGATTACAGCAATCCCAGTCACGACCATTAACCGGATCAATAGGAGGGATCTTCTCTGCAGCGGGATATTTACCCCGTCTCCTAGTAGATGCAGATCTCCGGACTTGAATGGTTCCACCACTTTCATAACTGCAGACTGCAGCAGCAATGCCTGCAATTGATTTCTGTTTTGGCTAAATAATGGCAAACCTTAGCATTAAAAGGACGCCCTCATCATGGGCAGACTTGAAAGAATCATGAGCATCTCAGAAGCTTATAGACTTTGAGCATCATCATCATCATCAACAACATCATGCGCGTACCCTTCCTCACCGCGCTGCTCGCCATTCACCCGGTTGCAGCTATAGACGCGAGCAATGGAACTCCAACCACCAGCTCAGCGCCTCTAGTCACCAGCCTTAATCTCACAGTCGAAGGTCAGCTTCTTCCCTAATGGGGCGCTCCGTAGGGACCTCAGCTCATATACCATAGACCTGTGGAACATCTACATCGGTCCCGTGGAGACCGCAGCGGTCAATACAACGGTGGAGCCCACTCCAATCCCAAGCTCTCAACTGATCCCACCGCCCCAGTTATACTATCCCTCCTACCTGACCGGCGCCCAGATTCCCGCCCAGGGAAAGAATGATAGCTGGTCCTTCCCCAAGGGATTCTGGTGGGGCGTCACCAGTGCCTCGTACCAGGTCGAGGGGGCTGTCAAAGCCGACGGCCGTGGCCCCAGCATATGGGATGCCTTCACGCATCGAGCAATGAGTGTAGCTGATAATCAAACTGGGGATGTCGCAATTAACCAGTACTACACCTACAAAGAGGGTACATTACCCCCCCCCCTTCCCCGGCATGTTATATTTATATCCCCTCGGGAGAAACCCAGATCTAACCACGATGACCAGACATCCAACGCATCGCCGCCATGGGCGTCAAAGCCTATTCCTTCTCCATCTCCTGGTCCCGGATCTTTCCCTTCGGCAATGGCCCAATCAACGAAGCTGGTCTCCAGCACTATGACGACGTGATCGACACCTGCTTGGAATACGGGGTGCAACCGCAGGTCACCCTCTACCACTGGGACCTGCCACTCTTCCTGCAGCTCTCATACGGCGGATGGACCTCCGAGAAAATCGTCGACGACTATCTCGCATACGCTCGCGTACTCCTAACCCGATGGGGCAGCAAAGTAGCGCAGTGGTACACGTTCAACGAGCCCATCTCCTTCTGCGGCGAGTACCCCGTGCCGGACGGCTACTTCACCACAACAACAACCATCCCCGCCCACCAACAAAAGTTCTGGTGCGGACACTACATGCTCCTGGCAGCCGGCAAGACCTACAACCTCGCACGGTCCCTAAACATCACCGCTCCAATCAGCGTTAAGAACAACGGCGGGTACAAACTACCCCGAACGAACTCCAGCGCGGACGCCGAAGCCGTCGAACGAGCCTGGGCCTTCAACGAAGGATGGTTCGCCGACCCCCTATTCTTAGGCGACTACCCAGCCCGCCTCAAGAATCTCACATCCAGCTTCCTGCCCGAGTTCACCGCGGCCGAGAAGAGCCTCATCCAGGGCGCGAGCGACTACTTCGCGCACGACGCCTACACCGCGGCCTACTACATGGCGCCCGACGCCGGGATTGAGGGCTGCCTCGCCGACCCGAGTAACAGCCTCTACCCGCAGTGCTACAATTCGACCTACACCTTGCCCGCAAGCGAGGGCGGGTGGCTGATCGGTCCGGCCTCCGACCCCAACACGCGGTGGCTACACAAGGCCACGGAGTGGCTCCCCGCGTTCCTGCACTACATCCAGCGCACGTGGCAGCCAGCCAACGGCATCGTCATCACGGAGTTCGGCTGGACCGAGCCCTTCGAGGCCTACAAGTCCAAGCGCGAGGATATCCTGTCCGACCCGGTCCGGTCCGCGTACTACCGTGATTACGTGGAGGCCATGTTGATCGCCGTGGCGGAGGGGGTCAATCTGGTAGGGTGTCTGGCGTGGTCCATTGCCGATAATCTCGAGTGGACGGCCGGGTTTACGGTCAAGTTTGGCTTGCAGGTGAGTACCGGTCCTTGGTTTCCGAGGTCGGGGTAAGCTAACTGGAATGACAGTATGTCAACCTAACCACCCAGGAGCGGTTCTACAAGGCCAGCTTTTTCGAGCTGGCGAACCTCTTCAAGACTTATATCAAGGAGTGAAAGGGCGGGTGCTGAGGTCGGACAAGGGATACCACACATTTCCCCGAGTTAGACTAGTGTGACACTGAGCTCAAGATTCTGGAGATAGTGTCAACAAATAGCAAGATCAGTACAATCTATCACCTCTAAAACACCCGGATTTGAACCCCTACATGTACAAGTCTAATTTGCCTTGCTATAATGATCCTCAGAACTACACGCTACCATCTAACCAAACGAAGAATATATCCAACAACACCCACACAACCACTCTCCTACCTCCAATACTATATACAGAACCTTCTGCTTTCCTCCATCCCATCTTCACCTCTCACTCCCCATCAACTCCGCCCAGTTTCCAACCCCACCTAATCTGTCCCTCGGCTCCGACCCGACCATTTCCTTCGGCCCCTCCCCACCTCCGTAATGCTGGTATCCATGTCCACGCCCAGGCCCATACCCAGGCCCATACTCATACCCATACCCAGACCCACCACCAGAAGACGCAAGAGTCGCACTCGACGACGACCCCTCCTTCCCTCCCGCACCACCACCACCACCCTGTACTTGCAAGTCCCGCCTCCATCTCCCCACCAAAACCCCCAGCGCAACCACCGCCCCAAGCAACGGGACCCCAACCCCGAGACCAACCCCAAGCGCCAACCGACCCGGCCCCGCGTCAACGCAGATCCCGTCGCAGACCCCAACCCCGACACCGTCGTCGCCGACTCGCGCACCGACTCCGCCCCCTCCGCCCTAGTAATATTAAAATAACACGAGACGAACCCACCCGCCTCATCGGGGTCAATCCACAGGAAGAAGACGTTGGAGTACGCGAGGTCGAAGCCGTAGAGCTGGACGGGCCAGGTGAAGTTGGTGACGGAGTCGGTGGGGTGGATTTTGGCTTGCGGAGGCCGGGGGGTGGTTAGTTATGGAATGTAGAAGGCCCTTAGCTGGGGTACAGTGGGGAATGGCTTCACTGAGGTACAGTATGGAAAGGCCCTGGCTGGGGTAGAGACAGCCCTGCTGATATCCTGCTAATAAGAGCGATGGGCCCACCTACAATAGATGTTCCCCTGACTCGCCGCGCTCTGCTGGACCAGACTCTGCTGCCAGATGGAGACATTAAATACCCCCAGGGTCGTTTTCCAAGAGATGACCTGGTCGTCTCCTAAGGTCCAGACGGGGTTGATGCCGTTGCCGGAGGAGGGCTTGATGAAGTAGTTGTTTGCGTCGGAGGTTGCGGCGCGCTGGATGATGAAGCATAGCAGGAGGAGTAAAAAGCGGAGGGCGGACATTGGATTAGCTAGATGTTATGGTCTGGTCTTAGGAAAATGGATGATCGAGAGGATGGTTCTGGGGTAGCGATCTGGGTAGTGATCTCCTGGACACAACTACTATTATACCAGACCCTTGGAACCCTGAAGGGCTCATAGTTTTGTACTACAGCCTTGCTGCGATGTCCCTAGGCGTGTTATTCTTAGGTTTAGCCGCCGGGGATCGGGTTCCTGGCCACGGCCATCCCGACCCGTGCAATGAGAGAGGTACTTTAATCGCTGTGGCTGGAACATTGGAATCGGTTCGCCAAGGGTAGGAGTCTATGCAATGACCTGTTGGCATGGTTTGGCGCGGTTATTTCAGGGCTTTTGGGTATAGGTGGGGGTTTGGGGGGAAGTCCCGGGTTGAGGATGCATTCCATATGATGCACAACAAAGATCAAATTACACATTTGGGCGGCTTAGCTGAGAGCTGGACTATCTGAAGCAGCGGTGGATCTCAGAGGTTGGCTGTCTACTACAATCTCCTACAAAGTCCTAAACTCAAGTCTGTGTTGGATGATTACGAAGCTCGGGTTTTGTAGACCAATGCCTTCTAGCAGTGGCCTACCAAGGCGCTGAAGTATTGCTAGCCTTGAATCACCAGTAAAGAATCGAAGTTTGCTTAAAAGCCGTGGGTGAGAACTAGGTCTCACCCCTCCAACGATTTCTGGTGTATTTTGAAGGAAAGACTGCATTGACAATGCGGTGGTAGAATGGCAGCACAAGAAGCTGCTCTGCGGGGGAGAAATGCCTGAAACCGAAGAATTGGGACCATTGTGTGACGGCGAAGTTCAAGCTGTTCTGTATTGGCAGGCAACTGATTCAACCGCATGTGGTACTTCCATATTATCTATGTGTGGCGAGGTCGTGCTACGCCCCATTATAGCGAGATCTGCCGCTAGAATGCCTAGCACGATTAGCTGTCCAACGAATGAATGCAGCGATCAATCAACCTGCACCTGTTGCCACGGCAGCACAAACTAGTCCGCAGAAACATCCACAATCTTCTGCAGCCCATCCTCTTCAAGCATCGCAACTGACCCTCCAAGCACAGTGAAATTCCTCGGATCAGCATCCAACGGCACTCCTACATCATCCCACGTCGCATGGACCGTTCTCTCGCCGCTCAGGAGCCGGTTGACGTTCAGCATGGTACTATACATCACCCCGAAACTATAAGCCCCGTGCACACTATCATCCTGATCATGTATATCGGAGGTTTTGGAGAATGACCCAGCGGGCTGGTACCCCCCCGTCAGCGACGGATATGCGCCGAAGCACCGTAGATACCCATGCCCGCACATCCGGCCCAACGACACATCAAATTGAGCCCCGATATCAATCTGCTCCGCCAGCTGCCCAGGGCTAACGGAGAGCGCCGCCAGGATCTTCTGGGCGCCGAAGTAGCTCACGGCATAGACCAGGGAGCAGACTGCATCGCCCACGCTGCAGACCAGACGCGTATGGTCGGGTCGATCGATAGGAGGCGGATCCCGCCAGTAAGGTAGGAAGTGATGGGGCGGTAGCACTGTAGAATCCTGATGCGACAGGAAAACCGGCAGTTCGGTCTTGCAACTCATACCGCAGTGGCCGAGCCAGAGGATTTCCCAGTCGTCGCCGTAGGGAGACCCGGTGGAGTTGCCATCCGAGCCTTGCAGAGCTCGGACGGCGAGCGCATAGCTCTGGAGCTGCGTTTTGAGGGTCACGTCCCAGTCGACGTCGTCCTCCATAATGATAGCGCTTCCGAGCCTATCCTGGACGATTCTGCGCGAGGGTCAGTGGGCAGTGCAGGACGGCGAGCGGGGTGTTGCATACTGCTGCATTGCATTGACATGCGCACGTCGAGCCGCATATTCCGTCGGCTTGTGGTCTGGATTCCAATGCTGGAGGAGCTCATCAGCAACCAATACAGAATTAAGTTTCACACATCTTCATGCTTACATGAGGTATTGATTTGGGATTGACTTGGTCCGGAGTGACCCCATCAATCCATTCCACACGGAAGCCGCTGACCGATGAACCTAGGATAATATTGTCCCTCTTATCGGGTCTGGACGGGAGGTTCACAACGAAAATCTTCTGAGTCTGCGTCTTGTTAGTACAAAGGTATTCCTTCCACCAGAATTTCAGTGCGCACCCCTAGAGTCTCATTGCTGATAGGATGGAGAGGGATCGACTCATCCTGGGACCGATTCCGCGCTATCACTTGCGCATAGTGGATTGGCGAGAAGCTCAGAATGACGGCGATCGCCCCAATTAGAAGTAGAATGGTCCGGGGGAGTCGTTTCTGAAGGATGGACAGAACCATACTCGCTCGATCAAGTAGAAAAGACAGTAAGATCGAACATCAAATCAGTTGGGCTGAGCTGTTGGCCCACTCAATCGCCCCTTGAGGCGCTCAATTCTCGATCGTTGAGTGAATGCGGGGAGGGATGGGGATGTCCCCAGCGGGCTTATCTGGCTTGGCTCGGGCTTGCTATTGCCTGGTGGAGCGGAAAGGAGAAGAGAAAGACAGAAAGAGAGGAAGAAAGAGGGGGAGGAAAAAGAAGAAATCGACAAGGAAGGGTCCAATGTCGGTAATGCTAGTCTAACAGCCATCCCTGGTAAGATTTGCTCAGGTAGTTACATTGGAGAGGACGGATCTAGTGGGAGAATTAAATGAGCCATGAATTAGCCGCTGGGCGGCGGGAATCTGGCCCAGTGGAAGGTGCGGATCTGCCGCCGGGACCCTCTACTGCGTCCGCTACTCACTCTTCTACCGAGTACTGTACATCGAGGGTGGGTTATAAATTCCACATCTATTAAATGACCAGGTTCGTCTCGTCCCGGAAGGACGACGAAGCTTCGAGTCGGTTAGGGCTTCCCTTCTACATGCTGACAGTTCTGGTGTGAGGTAGCAGGCGGTTCGTCATAGAGCTGGCGTTTGAAGAACGCTCCCTGGGTCGCCCGGTTTTCGATAGCAGCCGGAGTGAAGTTGGACATGGTGAGGTGGGAGAAGATTCTCGTACAGAAGTGTTATCGACATGGACGGAATCTCCCTGTCTAAGCTCAGTGAAACGAAGGGGGAAAGAATACAATATAGTCAAGTATAAGTCTGGCAATGCGATGGCGAGATATCGGTGATATGAGCTGATTAGCCCCAAACCACGGACGGAGTTGAGGCGGGCAAGCACTGTTTACCTCCAACTCCCCCTGCTTTGTTGGCGGGTCGTCATGCTAACAGGTGCACCGGCGATGTGATACGGGGAGGTAAACATACAGTCCTGACTGCAATTGAGGCTGGATGGTATCATGGAACATAAGCCAGTGCTTGACGCCCGCCACCCGCTCAGGATGTGGGCGAGATACTCCGGGCAATCCAGTTCGATGGCCTGTTTACACATACTACTTACTAGTTTGACCCAATTACCAATTCCATTTCCAATGCAGAAGACACAGTCATCAATTTTATTATCTTAACACAGAACAGATTCAACCTAATCATGAATACACACTAAGCCTGCCAAGAAAGAACAACACAGATCATGGTAAAATATATTGGTATACGGGGTATCCATGATGCATTCGGGCTGTAAACATCGAACAACCAATGCAGAATGCCGGCAAATGTGATCGCAAGCGAACCCCTCTCCCTGTGGATGGCTAAGAGATAGATAACATGGTATCACGCGATAAATAAACCTCTATCCCAGACCGGGTCTGACATTATGTGCACAACGCCAAATGTACTCCACACATGCCACCTCTCGGACATGTGGACTTTCGAATCAACGGAAAGAAAAAAAGAAAATTCACATGGATGGATTCAAGATGCAAGGAACCGTCAGCCTCTTGCCAAGAGCCATCACATCGAATCCGGTGTGGACAGAGTGCTGTCAAAAGTGTTTCGTGGAACAGCGGAGCCGTGAGCTGAACCAGACCAGCGGTTCCCAAAATCATGCGAAAAGAACTCAGCCGCCAGGGTTGGTCTTCAGTGGGCGGATCGCCCCTCCCCATGGGAGAGCCTATCCGGGGATGGTTGCACAGCGCCCCCGAAGCTTTGCCGCCGATCCGACTTGTGAAGCTCCGCCTCAAGTGAAGTGATGATAGGTGGTGCAGATTTCAACGGGGAGTGACCGGCGACGCGCGGGGAAAGCGACCGATCGTGGTCGCTGAGGTTCGAGGTGTTGATGCTCAGCCCATGCACATTGCTGCTGGCGCCGCTGGCACGGACGCGGAAGGAGCGGCGGCCGGGGTTCAGGTGGTCGGCCGGCGTGATGTTGACATTCTCATCGTCGTCCAGGTCGTCCGGCGAGCAATGCATGCCTGCCTCAGGGTGGCGTATCCGCTGATATTCACCGCGCTCGCCCGTGGGATCCGAGTCGTCAGCCTCGGAGTCAAGGTTCGGGCTGCGCGTCCAAGATCCCTTCCGAGCTTCCGCACGCATCTTCGCAATCTTCATGTAGTTATATGTACCAATGCTGGCGATGGTCACAAACAAGCCAGTGATGTTGATGAAGGTAAGCTGATCGTGGAAAATCACCCCCGCTGCACTGATGGTGACCACTTCCTTGAAGATACCGCAGATGCTCAAGGTTACCACCGAGGAGCGCTTGAGGAGCGCAAACTCGGACGAAATCATACAGAAAGCGAGAAGGCCGGGGAAGATCAACAGGCCCACCCCGAACAGGCTACCGCGAGCCTCGGCCAACGCATGGAATCCCGCCGCGATCTCGGAGGGTCCCTCCACGGCCAGCGCAATGATAATAAGAGACACAAACATGACGGGGGTAAGGAAAAAGAGTGTAGAGAAGGGATTGGCCGTCGCTGGGTGGCGGAGGAGGAGGATTTGGGTCAGACCCCACCGGAAACCCGAGAAGAACGCGGATGCAATGACCAGGACGAACCCGACTACATTGAAAGCGGTCTCGCCAGCGACCATCATGACAACACCTACAGTCATTGTGGCGATAATGATTATCAATCTAACTGAGGGAGTCTCGAGGCGGAAGAGGAAGGCAAACAGAAGAACAAAGGCGAGGGCGGACGATTTGCACATAGTAAGAAAAGTGAGGGAGATGAACTTCAAGGACATATTTCCAAGACCAATGTCGAGGGAGGTTGCTGCACCGCAGGGAACCAGACGAGTAAAGTAGAAGAATTTGGTGAGGATCGGCCCTTTCTCCGAGTTATCATGACCTCGGACGGGCGAACCGGACGGCGTGGAGGTGTGAGGGTGCTGCGGGCGCAACGAAGGTATCAAGTAAAGCAGAAGGGAAGAGAGTGTGAACTGAACAGCCATATGCAGACTGGTGGTGAAGAGAGGGAAAGGAAACACGACGTTATTGTCTGAAAACATCCATTTGTTGTACTGTAAAGAGGGCACGCGACCTGGTTAGCAGATGTCCAGCTCCCGCCCAGCTCCGCCCCTAGGATCCAAACTTACAATTGAAATCGACAGCGAGAAGAAGTACCACATGAGGATCAAGCCACCGTTGACTAGAAGCTTTTGGAGGATGTCCCGATCGCCCATTCCCAGTGGCAGCCAGTCCTGTTTCGAGGCCTTGACATCGGCTATGCGGGCATCCAACTGCCTGCGCTGCTGTCTTCTGCGACGTCGCTGACGCCTCTGCCTCGCAGTCAAACCGGTCTCCTCGTCATCGTGGATGTCTTCGTCCGAGCTCGTGTAATCCATTTCGCTGCTTTCCGCAATGGAGGACAGATCCGACTCGTCTGCGTCCTCAACCGGTGAGGACTTCTTCTCCTCTCTTTTCGAAGCGACTCCGTCCCCGGTTACCCTTGCAATGTCGTCCCTTGGGTCAAGAGCCGCCGAATGGGAACCTGCAGCCAACACTGAGCTCCGCCGTCGATGATGATTGCCGGCCGGGGAAACACCCATACTGGGACGGTGCTGATCGTCGGGAAGGTAGGTAGGAGGGAGGGAGGCGAAGTGATATATGGGTGAATCGCGGACTCAGAGGCGTTCGCTACAATGAGGATGGCCCCATCAGTGAGAATGTGAGTTGTGTCTCAGAGGCCCACCGCGCGCGCACACGATCGAGAGAAGTTCGAAGGGAAAAAAAAGAATCGGGGGGTGGGTGAGAGGGGTTCAAGGACGGGTGGGCGGCCAAAGGAGTGTGGGAAGAAGATCGGTGAAGGAGCAAAAATGACTGGTCTCGGAGATTGGAGAGGAAAAGGGAATTGATGAGATGACACAAAGGAAAGTAAAAATAAAAAAGGGACTAATCCAAGGAAAGAGGTAGAAAAAGGAACTGTCAAAGTAAGTAAATTGGGGGGAAGGGGAATAGTTCGTATGGATGGATGATGCAAGGGCGACCGCTGCAGGAGGGAAGAAGAAGAACAGCAAAAAAAGAGAGGGAGAGAGAGAGAGATTGAGGAATGACAGCACAGGGAGGCAGTCTGAGGATAATCAGGCGCTAGGGGAAAAGTAGATTAGTGAGGAATTATCCCAATAGTTCAAACAAACTGGGAGTAGGAGTAAGATGGAAGAGGATTGATTTCAAACAGAGTCGGATGAAATAAGAGTAATATTAAAAATAACAATGGAGGTACGGTACGGAGTACTTGACGTGGGTTGGGCGAGAACGTGATTGTGATGGGGGGAACAAAATTGTTATGGTTTGGAAGGAATTCAGGGTCGTGCTACTACAAGTATGAGTACAACAGGTCTACTCTGATAAAGAGAGGAGAGGCGATGCGATGCGATCGATAGCTTGCTTGCTTGATTGACTGACTGATCGAAGGGGGTTGATTGGGGACTGATTTGAGGGAGAGTCACTTGATTGTCCTCCCTCCCTTCCCTTCCTTTCCTTCCATCCCCTGAGCTCAATAGTAGTAAGTAACTTAAGTTAGCCACCAGAACGTCATTTCATCCCCAGACCATCCAGCAACCCAACCCAAAAGAATACGAGCACGACCAAAGTTAATAATCATGATGACAACAATCCACCACCCCTTCAACCACTAGACTGGTTCCACAACACCTGACTTGTCTCAAATTACAGGCCACTTTCAGGGAATTGGAAATCACACAACCGATAGGAAGGGAGAAGCGAAGCAAGAAGAAGAAACCGAAGAAGCAGAAGAGACAGAAGAAGAAGCAGAACAAAAAGAAGGACTTCACCTCCTCTCTCGATTCAAGACGGAGTGCCTGACCCTTGAACATCCGTGCCGAATAGGATGACTCTGCCTTTGCCAACCGACAAACCGACTGACTGACTGGAGGATAAACTAACTAAAGGACGGGCTGCTGCTCAGGGTTCAATCTCTTCGCTTCAAATTATTATTTCCTTTCCTTCTTCCCTTTTTCCCTACATTAGTGTCTGTGGATCACAAGAATTGTCTCCTCCCTCCCTCCACTTTTGCTGTGCCACTTGGCCCCCCCTGTCTGCCATAGACTAGTTGCTAGGCATGAGCCATAAGGGCAAGTCGCAGGTCATTCGATTCTTTCCCAAGGCTGGAAGAGCGGGGAACAACCCGACAAGCCACTCACAACCACTGGGTACATTTAGTGATTGCTCCGACGCTCCGAGATTAAATTTTGCATCGTTGGGCTTTACCCTTCCGGACGATCCGGGGGAAAGAGGGGAGCGACGGGACAAGCCCAGGGGGCATTTAGTTGACCCAAATGCTGGTCAATTGGTGGTGATGCTCGTGGTTGGTACCTTGAGATTTCAAGGTTCGTGAGGCGGGAATCAGTAGCTTGGGAAAGTCTCACTTAGAGGGTCTCTTCATGACTATAATCATTGTCGGACATTATGCATCAAGAGTAAGTGTCAGCTAATCATGACCTTATAATCATCAACCATCGTACTCTGTAGTGTATGCATCCATCAATCAGGCAGCAATCGCCTATCTATCAGGCCATTCCGCCCGGCATCCGTGCCTGGGGCGCAGTTTACTCTTACTCTTAGAGATTCACATCCACATCTCTCTCTCACACACACCGACTTGACTTGACTGACTGCTTGGCATCTGAACCAGCAATTATTGAGAAATCGGCCAGCGTCGGCGGGACCAACTTTAACCACGCGCCTTTCATGGATGGTCATTGGGTGGTCGGACGATGGCTGACTGTATGGAAAATGAGGAGGAATTCGGACTGACCCGACAATGAGAATTGCTCTCGTCAGACTTTACCATCGGAGAGGGAGGGAAAAGAATTCAGGCACAGATGGACTGAGTCTCCTCAATCGAAGCAGTACATGACCACTACTGAATAGCTATGATGTGATACGAGAATCACTGATCTTCTGGAACCATACACCCACAGTGATCAGATATGATGAACAGATGAACGAATCCCATCCTCGGACTGAGATCATAGTTCCCCCTCTATCCCCTCAAACAGAACAAACGAACCGAGGCTAGATCGTTCTTCTCGAATTCCTTATCTTTCTTTCTCTCTCTTTCTTTGATTCTCTACACCTGCAGTAGTACAACACTGTCACAGCACAACTCGAGTCTCGAGTCACTTTCTCGCCACACCCCATAGGGCTAAAAGATGACCATACCGTCATAATGACAAAAAGACAAAGCGGGAAACCATTTCGACACTAACGAACCATAAACAGTAGCTTATTGCCCCCCTCCCCTCTCCCTGGTCACTGATTATGATTAATGGAGATTTAACCAACGGGTAGAATCCTCGTATCTGCCCATCACCCAAACCACAGGTACTGTAAGATGGACCCCATATCGGTGAGTCACCTGCCATGCCCATCCATCCAGTACAGCACTACAGAGTACTGTACTGTACAGAGATAGATAGCCTCGTCCATGTGGCCTAGCCCGCGTCGAGGGGGCCATAGGGACATCAGAGTCACTAGCTAGCTAGCTCGTCTACCAATAAGTTAGTTACGCCTATTGACAACTCAAGGATAATCAATCACCTTCTGCGCAGGCTCCGATAAGAATATACAGTAACTTACTCCGTAGTCAGTCAATCATCTCCGTCCCGCAAATCCCCCCTCCCTCCCCGCACGGCACACCAAACGCTCGGGCATCTCAACAACCCTTACCGACCTGACTACATAGATACTCATATCCTCAAAACTCTCACTTCTCTATCTTCCAGTACTCTGTACGGTAGATGTAGGTTCACCAGCTATCGCATTGCATGAATAGTCCCATGCACAATCCAAAATCCCAAAGCCAAAAGCCCCACTCACTCTAAACGGAAAAGAAAAAGGAAAGAAAGAAAGAAAGAAAACCATCCTACAATAAAGTAATCGACACGTCCAATTCAATCCGTCTATCAATACTAAATCGAGCCAAGGCGATCAACACTAAATAAACCGACACACCCTACCGAATTGCTGGACACCCCAGGAACGGGGACCTAAAGTACTGGTAGGTTCACGATTCATTCGCGAGGCACAGGCACAGTCCTACAATAAGGCGTCATCGGAGGCAGGTGTTCGTGTTACTGATACTACGATGGGAGGGGGTGGTAGCGTGCTCTCCTGCAGATCATCGGAGCTGCTCACATGGTCAGTTGCGCTTGAAGGGTTCGTGACAGGGTGCACACACTGGACGATCCGGAGGATTGTAACCACACGACGATGGGCGGAAGTCGCTTGGACTGTACCTGGGACATACGGCGCTTGAGATACTAATGGTGGATTAAAGTAGAAAAGTACCCTGGGGTGGGAGGGATATCACATTGTCTACAACATAAAGAAGGGACAGATGTAAGGCTACTTATCAAGCTACGGGGCATTTAGAAAGACATAGCATTGTTGCCCTCCTTTCAGAGTATCCGGTACTATATCTTCAGATACACATACATTAGTTGGGGGGCAGACCGTCATTCCCACTCGCCCTCCCCAAAGTGTATAGCCGGCAGATCTGCAAGACGTGAATGCAGTCAATCCTACCTACCACACCCCAATGTAACCAGAGAATTCTCTATACCCAGCTCACCAAGATCTTATCAGTCCGTCATCTCCATCCCACGTGGTTTTTCTTGCGACTCTTCTATTGCCCGAGACCCACACTCCCCATGTATAGTTCAACTTCAAGGGGTCGATCACTCTCTTCCCCGATGCTCTTCTCATCTCGCTGATCCATGCGGTTGGGGCATCTAATCCACTTAAAACTCGCTTTGATGACAGTGCCATATAAAACAAAACTAGCCGTCGAAGAGGTAATCGACTCCGCTACAGAACGGGAACGGTTCAACCGCCCTTTCTCTGTCCAGCAGCGCCAGGCCCTGCAGTCGATGTGTTAGATGAATGCTGAGATCTCTGGCGGCCAAGACGGGGGAGGTGACCCATACCGATGGTGGCGCTGGCATTGCGCAGTTCGATTTTTTTGCGTTCCATTTCGAGCTGTACGATTCATGTCAGACCGCCACTACTTGCGCAAGATCCACGAATGGCTGAATGACTCACCACCTTGCGTACTCGGGCAAGGGCAGCCGTGTCACCAGCCACCAGAGGCCGACAGTCGTCCACGCGGTATGGAGCCGCAATGGAAACTGCATCTGCCACAATGATCTTGGCCCCATCCCATCTCGCCGGCATGGTCCGACTGAAGGCGTCGAAGATGTCCTGCGCCTCGCGGGTCACGCCCTTACCACGACGAGCCTCGCTTTCGTGCGCTTTAGCAATAGCATTGGCCTCCCGGTTCTTCAGGGAACGTATGTCGAGAGCGTGGAGGGGTGGTACCGCGTCGGCGAAGGACGGTCCATCGGAGGCGGTGGCAGACGGGGCGAGGGAGAGGATCTGAACGGATTGTATACGCGAAATGGGGATGATGCGGTAGTCGCCAGTTTGGGACTGCTTTTCGTCGGCGGTGTCAATGGCGACTAGATTCGTGATGGGGTCGGCAGTGAAGAGGGTGCCCTCAATCGTCGACGCGACCGGGGCTGTGCTGATGCGGACACTAGGAGATGATGGTGGTATCAGCATATAGACAAATAGCACTTAGCCAGCAGCAGGCATCAAAAGTCGCTTCTGGACAACCAAATGCACACCAACACCAGGCTATACAAGCCCAAGAAGAACAGGGAGCTTTACCGTGCGCCAATGGCGTCGCTCAATGCCACTTCCAAAGGGACCATGGCGCCTGTCGCTCCCTGGCTTGTGGCTCCTGCGGTCGGTCCTTGCGCAGATGCTCTCGCTCCCACACTTGGACGTTTGTTGTCTGCCATAAGCCTGCCTCTGCTAAAGATGGAGGGTTCGAATGAGACTGTCCCACCGACGACAGCACCAAGTCCAGCAAGGGTCCACTATCGGGTGCTATGTCGACCGAGGCGAGATTGAGGTAGAACCTAATCAAGAGAGAAGGGCGGAGACACCTGTTAGAAGGACAAACTAGGTCAGCCTGGCAATCAAACTATTGTTAGGCAATGCTGGGAAATGCTGAAACCACGGTCGTTACTAACAATGACGATGGAACTTGGGCGCGGAACTGGCTGAAGTGGGACGGTGCGGGAACCGCAGTTGAAACAAAGTCGGACAAAAGAACGACAAGAAAAGGAGATGCTAAGACAGCAATGACCATACAAAATGATACCCACCCTACTTCAACCGATTGGAATGAGAGGAAGAGAGAGTTGAGCGCCTACAACGCCGCACATGTAGTGGATTGAAATAAGATAGTGAGGAAGGTTGCAGGAAGATGCAGAAAGAGGTCGGGGAGCGGCGACGTTTGGCCGACCCAATCGGGATTAGCTCAGGGCGGAGCGAGACTTCCGTTGCAGCACCAATGGATGTATGAGTCCTCACGCCATCATGACTACACTACTGGTATTTACGAGTATTTAGAAGCCCACATTGTGTTTGCCTGCATGATCCCAAAGAAAAGCTACTGATTATCAATCACACCACCACTGTAAAAGAAAAGAAAAGGGTTCATTTCATTCCATACGTTTTTGAACGTAACAGTAAGCATCTAGATACATAGTACTATGAAGCAGAATTAGGTATACTTCCTGTTCCGCTTCTTGTTTTCATCATGTCATTCCCTTCACTCAGTAAGCGCATATCGCAGACTCCCTGAGCTCAGCCCAACTGTCCCCTGCTAGACCCGTGCGAGGCTTCACGTCCAGCGTATTACATCGCGTGTTTGATTTAAACAATGTAGGTCGACGCAGAGACGTTGCCACCACGGCCGGTCCAGTTGACGTGGATGTCCTTACCCTCGGGGTAGGTCTCGCTGGCGTGCTCGGGCTTGATGCGGAAAGTGTGGGCACCGAAGTAATCACGCTGAGCCTGCAGCAGGTTGGCGGGGAGGTCCCGGGTGCGGTAGCCGTCGAAGAAGCTGAGGGCAGTGCTGAAAGCAGGGGTGGGGATACCCCAGAGAGCACCCTTGCTAACAACGTTTCTCCAGCCCTGCTGGGCGTTGTGGATGGCCTTGTTGAAGAAGTCGTCGAAGAGCAGGTTCTCAAGGTCGGGGTTCTTGCGGTAAGCGTTGGTGATGTCCTTGAGGAAGACGGAACGGATGATGCAGCCACCACGCCACATGAGGGCAATGGAGGGCTTGTTCAACTTCCAGCCGTACTCACGAGCAGCCTATTAAAATTCACGTCAGCAACTGCATACCGGACTGGATGCGGGAAGAGTCTTACCTCCTGGATGAGCATGAAGCCCTGGGCGTAGGAGATGATCTTGGAGGCATACAGGGCCTGCTCGAGGTCCTTGATGAAAGCCTGCTTGTCACCATCGAACTCGGGGGTAGGGCCCTGGAGGAGGCCGCTGGCACGGATACGCTCGTCCTTGATAGCAGACAAGCAACGAGAGAAGACGGCCTCGCCGATCAGGGTGACGGGCATGCCAAGGTCAAGAGCGTTGACGGCAGTCCACTTGCCGGTACCCTTCTGACCAGCCTTGTCAAGGATCTTCTCGACGAGGGGAGTTCCATCCTCGTCGTTGTAGTAGAGAATGTCACGGGTGATCTCAATCAGGAAGGAATCCAAGACGCCCTTGTTCCACTCAGCGAAAACATCGGCAATCTCCTTGCCCTTAAGACCAAGACCGCGCTTGAGGATATCATAAGCCTAGCGATAGATAGTATGATTAATCTCTGAACGCGACATTCCGATTATTGTTGATGACTTACCTCGCAAATGAGCTGCATGTCACCGTACTCGATACCGTTGTGGACCATCTTGACGAAGTGACCAGCGCCCTCGTCACCGACCCAGTCGCAGCAGGCCTCACCGTCGCTCTTGGCGGCGATGCTCTGGAAGACATCCTTGATGTAAGGCCAAGCCTCCTCGTTACCACCGGGCATCAGGGAGGGACCGTAGCGGGCGCCCTCCTCACCACCGGAGACACCGCTGCCGACGAAACGGATGCCCTTCTCGGCCAGGTACTTGGTGCGGCGGTTGCTGTCGGGGAAGTGGGAGTTACCACCATCGATGATGATATCACCCTCCTCGAGGTGGGGCAGAAGAGACTCAATGAACTGGTCAACGGGCTTTCCGGCCATGACCAGGAGCATGATACGACGGGGACGCTTGAGCTTGGCGCAGAACTCCTCGACGGAGTGGGCACCAACGATGGGCTTGCCTGGTTGTACACCATGATGAGTTGACTTTGCCTGAAAGATAATACGTAAATGAAACTCACCCTTAGCCTCGTTCTCCAAGAAGCGGTCGACCTTGGAGGTGGTACGGTTGTAGGCGCAGACGGTGAAGCCGTGGTCAGCAGCGTTAAGGATCAGGTTCTGACCCATAACGGCCAGACCGATGAGACCGAAATCAGCACTAGGCAAAGAACGCGCCGGAGCGCCGACATTGATGCCGGCGAGGCGGGCGCTGAAGTCAGTCGCCAGGTTCTATGTCAATAGGTGGGTAGATAGAAAAGAAAATGACGGACAAGGAGGGGATTGATCCCGACGTTTGAGGACGTAGGGGATCAATGCGACCCTCCAGACCTGCGGCCTCCTCATCGTGATGATTCACAGACGAAGGGCAATCCGAGTTCATGACAATGACCCGAAAGTCATCTCGAGGCTAGTGTGCGCTCCAAGATGGTAGCCGCATGGTGAAAGAGGATCGACCAATGCATGCAAGAAGGAATGCAATGCATGGATCATGGATGAAGCATCAAGACAGAGGAGTGGGAGGCAGAGTTACTTACACAGCTTGGTCGGCCATGATGAAATTGTGGGGGTGGGAGGGGAGGAGGAAATTAGGTATGGATTTTGGAGAAGAGAAGCAAAAGAGATGAGGTAGTTAGAAGAAGTGGGAGTGACGGAGGATATATGAGGAGAGAAGGACGAGGGACCAAGAAGGGGAAGATGGGAACGGGGCAAGCGAGGGACCGTAAGAAGGAAAGCATTGGAAGATGTCAGAGCAGGATTCACGCAATGTGGACGGGGCTTACGGAGCAGCTCTTCCGTCATGGGTGGGACGGGAGGTTGAGTTGGGTTGAGCGGGGCAATAATCGATAGAAGGGAAGAATACTAGCAAAGAGGGGAGAGAGAACACCAGTGGAGGGAGGGGGGAGCAGAGTCCTCCGGTGAGACCGGCCAGCTTCTTTTGGTAACTAGTACCTACAGATCGGATATATGAATTGATCATGAGAAAAAAAGTAAACAGAAATTAGACTACATTGCAATTTGCTGCGTCGCATCGGATTCTCTTCAATTGGCTCTACGTATCCAATTAATTAACCAGTTTGAGATGACAGTATTCGTAGATGCCATAGTCTCCATGGTGGCAGCTTGTTGTGATAATGATGATGCTCTCTCTCTCTCCCTGCTCTGATGGCGGGGCAATGGAGGGGCACAGCAACCGGCGGCGGCACTGCAGAAAATCCGCTAGAATCCGGCCTACATCGGCCCTGAAAAAGGAATTTGTCCCAGAGTAGCGCTTTCGGTGAAGCTCGTTCGGGAACGGATAAATTGGGACCGCCTTCCAAGCCCTTCTCCCCACCACCCATCCCACTCTCATCGGTTCACCCAGATGCTCAAGTAAGAAGTATGTGTACTCATACATGATCCATACGAGACCCGACAACCACTTAATCTCCCTTCATCATCATCATTCTCCCAGGAGGTAAGACCGGGATGATTAATCATCGTCATCAATTGTACTCCGTAGCTTGCCGCCAAATAGACCGGATTAGAGCGGATAACCCATCCCTCTCTCTAGGCTTAAAGCCGATCAGAACAATTCCCGCCGGAGAAATCTACTCCATTTCCGGGGACTCTGATCATCCCGCATCTGCTAATTAGTCTAAAGCTCAATGAAGCCGATGGGGGTTCTTTTCTCCGTACTGGTCAGTTCAGTAACTATGGACTGTCTGTGGTCGGCAACTGCATTTCCCAGTCAGGTTTAGGGTGGGGGTCAAGTTGCATCACATGGGTTCAATCACTTGAATCAACAATCGGTTGGGGGTTCAGAACCACCACGCAGTGTGGCTAGCCTGCGCTGAGTAAGAAGATCGGGGCCAGCCAAATCATTGACTCGCCCGCGAAGGTTCCTGGACTTCAATATCATGCAGCTCGCAGGACGGAGTATGCATGTAGTAGCATTCACCTCACTACCAGGCAATAAGCAGGTTGTCCCTCGTAAAGCTCATCCTCGTATAGACCGGATTGACTTAGTTTCCAAAGAGGAAACTCCCCGCTGATACGTAGCTACGTACTCGGGTTATTCGGTGTCAAACTTACATGCCAGTGTTGACAAGCACTTTCTCTCTCTCGAAGGAAGCTAGGCTAGCTTTAACAAAAACAATCAGACTCAAGGATACAGCAACGATGCGTTCTTGCTTTCTGCATGCATCGGTACTAGGTCACGTGCAGCCGCAGCATCTGCGGCAGCAGGGTGTAATGTCCTGTTTGCACTTTACGGCAGGCTTTGGAAGCGACCAGCGCACTTTTTCTCTTGTCGGCCGTGTCTGTTGCTTCAGGCATCGAGAACCATCTGCCAGCCCATCAACTCACACTACCCTTACTGACAACCAGATTTCCATATCATTCTCCTCCTCCTGATCAACATCTCGCGATCCCAACCAACTCTGCAACTCCCAAGTCAGCGCTACTAGCGTCTATCATCAACTATATACTCAATCCTCCAAGCTTTGTGGTCTAACTTGGGATACGGCATACGGCCTTTCACCTTCAAGCCACACATCTTCCGCACAAGGATTCGGGACCTTTTTCAGGCGTGACGTCTGGCGTATTGACTGCGACGTCAGTCAGGCCCTGAAGGTACGTGTCTGTTGCTAGTTGCTGAACAGCGCATCACACTATCCACCGTTTCTCCCTTGTACCGAACCCTCCGTTCATCATGTCCTTTCCGCCACCTCCAGGTCTTAGGCAAGCACCTTCGTCGCTCCCTGCGCGCCCACCACCACCAGCGAGCACTGCTTCGCCTGCCACCTACCAACAACCCGCATACTCGGCTGCGCCCTCGTATGCACCGCCCGGTGCAACCAGCGGATATGGCAGTCACGGGCCGTCGCGACCGGGCTACGGCGCCGCCACTGCCTTCGCACCGCGCTCGGTAGCCTCAACTCAACCCTACCGTACCAGCAGTCCTGTGGTGTCCGCTCCACCTACCTCAACCAGCGGCTATGCAACACCAACCACGACCGGCTACGGTAATTACTACCCACAACAACAACCACAAGCATCGTACCAGAGCGCCCCGACCTACTACGGCGCCCCGGCCCAGTACAATGACGGCACCTCGTATGGCCCGTCCGTGCCGCGGATCCAGAACCCCTTCCAGCCCGCCGCCGGAAGGGGCTACGGCGGCCGCCATGACTCCGGCATGGACCCGGAGACGGAAGCGCAGATTGCGCAGTGGCAGAGCGCCTACGCGAACAAGGAAGAAGTCCCGGCCCCCGGCAAGGTCCCTGGACGCCGAGATGCCGACCAGGGAATCGGGGCTGGGCCTGCATCCGGCGCGAACACACCATCCGGTGCCGCCGCCGGTGCCAACACGCCCGCGCCGATAGTGGGGGTGCCGGAGCCCGCGCCGAAGACAGTTGTCCGCTCCGGTGGTGGACAGAACTGGACCGACTCGACACTCTTGGAGTGGGATCCGGCGCACTTCCGTCTGTTCGTGGGAAACTTGGCGGGCGAGGTTACGGACGATTCCCTGCTGAAGGCGTTCGTCAAGTACACGTCGGTGCAGAAGGCGCGGGTGATCCGCGACAAGCGCACGCAGAAGAGCAAGGGCTACGGGTTTGTCAGCTTCAGCGACGGCGACGACTATTTTAAAGCGGCGAGAGAAATGCAAGGCAAGTACATTGGTTCGCATCCGGTTCTGCTCCGGCGGGCCACCACCGAGGTCCGGCCCGTGTCCAACAACAAGAATGGAAAGAAGCACGGGGGTGGAGGCGGCTCGGGTGGGGGCAGTGCTGGTGGGGGCAAGGTCAAGCATGATGGAGTCAAGAAGCATGGAAAGACCAAGGGCGGACTGAAGATTCTCGGATGATCGATGGGGTTAAGTGGACTTTGTACGCAGGCTCTCGATCAAGTAGGCAATCCGATGACGACTTATGCTACGACTGGGGTACATGAAGTTAGAAACCTGAAGCATTCTGTAACCTTCAGAATCGGGGATAGTTCAATTTGTACGCAATATACCCTTATCCTCATCCTCAATACGTCTCTACACACATGCTCAAAATATACTCGGTATTATATAAACAATTCCCCAAACTAGAACACCTAGGGTCGAAACCAGTCCACCCTTCCTAAGCCCTCGAAAAATCCAAGCAAAATCCATGGGAAAATCCAGTAACAATCCCTCTCACTTATAGACACCTCCAACCGACTCAAGCCCCTCAAGCCTTCCAGCTCATCCCTCCCCCGTCGTAGAGTCAACCATAATCCCATCAACCATTGCATCATAAGTCGTAACCACATTCAAACAACATAAACAACCAAGCCCCAATCCAGCAGGTGCATAAATATACCACATAAGATTCATGAATGACTCGACTCCAGAAACACCTTCACCAGCGAGGCGTGATAATATCAACCGAAAGAAAGAGAGTTGGTGAGGAGGGGGAAGAATCAACCACCACCGCCTTCCTCCCCACTCTCCTCATCGATGGCCCGTTTCCGGTACGCAACGCGGTTCTTCATCGTGTGGATGCCGTAGCCCGCGATGGCGAGGATGATGAACAGGACGATGATGATCACCGCGATGGCGATGTTTTCTTGCATCTTCACCCGTTATCGGTGGAGTGTAGTTGGGTTTTGGTGATTGGACGGTGAGGTCAGGTGACGTTCCAAGTTGTTGTGGATGGGGTGGTTAATTGAGGTTACAACGTCTCATGGGATCGGTGGACGTAGATCCGATGTGTAGGTAGGTAGGTAGGTAGGTAGGTAGGTAGGTGTTTATCGATCTGTGCGCACGATCTGTGGGGGACGGATCTAGATTTTGGTTCCTCAGGAATGTATGTGGATAGAGGTCAAATTATCCGGAAGATATATTGATGGTATGTATGGGTTTGGGAATCCAAGGGAGGAGAGGAAGATAGAGAAAATAGAAGGGGGGGGAGGGCTGGCATGCTTGTGGGACAACTTATAAGGTTGTCCACACACAGCCAGCCAGCCTTGAGTGACCATTGAGTGATGGAGTCAATCAGTGCCTGGGCAAGTAAGTGTTCCCCAGCCATGCTGTTTTTACTTCCTGGCCTTGTTTATTGCGGGTGGCTGGGGAAATGCGTTGATGCAGCGATGCTAAGTTGCTGCGTTGCCGGCGCTAAGGCTCGAGTTGGTCAAGCCCAAGGTCGGCGGTTGATGCTATTTCGGGCAATCAGCTTTAACAAAGTTAGCTCCAAGTTGATTGTTTGCTCTGGATAGGCTATAATCTTCGCCGGGTGGTAGATCGGGGATGTTGGGCTGCAATGTACGGAGTATTGTACATCTACATGCTGTATAGGTAGCCCAAGTTTTTCTACAGTGGAAACTCAATGTGGTTGATGAGCCTGCACAGTTTCTAGGGCTGTTGTCCACTCGGACAAAATCGATACTTCCATAATACCTCATTTGAGGTCGAACAACTCATTCAAACTAGTTCTCCGAATGAGATTGACATCCTTCTTCATCATCATCACTCTCCTCATCCTTCTTCGTCTTCACTGTCCTCCCCTTCTTCTTTCCCGCCCCATTCATCATCTCCATCAGCGTCTTCTGTCCCTTCTTCGCGCCCGATCCCTTGGCTGCCTTCTTCTCGTCCGCCTCCAGCTTCCGCATATACTGCTCCATCTGCTCTTCCCGCATCTCCTTCCCCTCGTCCGCCAATCTCGCTTCCAGAGCTCGGAACTCCTCTCCCTCCGGATCCATGCCGATCAAAGACTCGAGAAGCTCAATCTCCTTCGCCCAGACACTGGGATCGGCGACCAGCTTCCCCGCAGCCGCGGCTGGTTTCTTTGGGGCCTTCTTCTTGCCCTTCGCCTGCCCAGCCTCCCCATCCTCCCCGCCCTCATCCTTCGTTGCGGTTTTGGCTTCTGGCCGGTCGATCGGCGTCTCCAGGATCATAGGCACCCCCTCGAATCGCTTCTCATTCATAACATTATGAAATGCACGTAGTCCCAGGAATCCCGTCCCAATGTTCGCGTGCAGATCCCGTTTACTACCGCGGGGCGCTTTCGAGTCGTTAAGGTGGAGGGCCCGGAGATGTTGGATGCCAATCAAGTCCTCGAATTCCTGCATAAAGGCCGCGAAGCCGGTGGGGCTGACAAGGTCGTAGCCCGCCGCGAAACTGTGGCAGGTGTCGATGCAGATGCCAATTCGCGGGTGCAAGTCAGCAGGGATCTGGGCGAGCAGATCCTTGAATTCCGAAAGGGAGCCACCGATCGTGCTGCCGTGGCCACACATGGTTTCGAGGACCGGGGTCACGGTCGTGGTGGCGCGGAGGGCGGAGGTGAGAGCGGAGGCTAGTCGGGTGATAGCACTGGCGTGTGGGGTAGAGTTGGCAGAGCCGGGACTGTTCGCACATCATCAGTATTCGTGTTGTAGAGCTCATGTGTGCAGAGGGTACCCAGAGCTGGCTGGCTTACTGGAAGTTGTATAGTTGGATGCCCAGAGCTTCGCACCGACGGAGATCGTCGAGGAAGGAGTCGTAGGCTTGCTTGGCTTTGGCTTTGTCTTCTTGAGCCAGGTTCACAAGATAAGAGCCGTGCGGAAGGATGTGTCTGGGTTTGAGGTAAGTTGGGGGGGCAGATGACAGATAGGCGTAGGGGAGCTCACTTTGCTGCATCATACTCGTGCTCTTTACACATGGCGCGGAATTGATCTCGATGGTCATCCTGAAGGGGTGGATTGTCCCATTTCCTTTGCGACTTGAGGAAGAGAGCAAATGCGTTTCCTCTGACGTCTCGTTAGTTGATGGCCAACCAGAAGGAGACTCTGTGGGACTCACCCTATGTGCATGCTGTTGTTCACCGAGTTGAAAACGCCTGTACCAATTATTAGTACAGGATTACAATTCATAGGATAAACTGGAAGCCAACTCGACGCACCTTTGGCTGCGCTGACATGCGCGCCGACAAGCATGCGCAATCCCTGGGTCCGAGCTCTCAAGGGCACCATCTCGGCTTCTTTGGTTTTCTGCTTCCTGGAGACCTTGACCGTTTTCGATACCTTCTCCTCAGCCTCTTCCTCCTTCGCTGAATTGACGTTGTCTTCTGTTGGTGCCTTCACAGTGACCGTTGTCTCAACCTCTTCCTTCACTTCCTGCTTGACTGCGACGGCGGCGGCGGAGGCGGCTGCCTTGCCTTGACTAGCTTTGTTGTTTCTCGAAATCCCTGGACTCGCAGTTTTGGCCTCACTGCCAGTTTCCAATTTAATCGAAGTCGTAGACAATGAAGCAGCAGAAGCTCCAGCTGATTTAACGCGCTTCGACCGACGAAGTGGGGAGGTTGGTTCACAATCTTCGCCGATAAGCTTGCGTTTTTGGTCTTCCGGAGAGCGTGGTGGCGAGACGGCGACAGCGCTGGATGCTGCTTTGCGAGCACCGCGAGGAGGCATCGTACCTTTGCCTGTCAACAGCGAGTGGGATTCAACAATTATTGGATGTTATTCGAAAATCAAGTAGTCCGTTGATAGACGGTGGGTCGACCAAAACTGTCAAAATTGGCGGTTTGGCGATATGGTGACGCGGAGCGGAGCGGACTTTGCAGGGTCGAGGCCTTACTTCACTCCCTTGGAGGCAGCCAGTGGTTCTGTCAACGTAATACCACCATGATGTCAAGTGAAAAGTTTTGAGCACCTCCACATAGCTACAGATGATTGATACTTCTACATCATCTCAGAACCTTGCAAGGCAGTTGATACACACTAGAATGGAGGGCAACCAGCTAATGGCAGCTTCAATTTTACCTTTCTAGGACTAGCGTGCATGTGACCGGTTGTCAGGGAAACCAAATCCAGACTAGCGGCTGTTTATCGATAAACTCGATTTGCGTCAACTTCTTTCTGATTTGGCTCCCTTGCAGCCTGAACCGTGTCGACCATCGCCCTTCATCGCCCTCCACCCACCACCAAATCTCGACGACGACAACTATAATCACGACCCCAATACCTTGGACACGACTCTTTCGATACACATTCGAAGTGGGCGATCCTTGTCTCGTTCTTCATCGCCGCCATGGCGGCCTCAAACGATTTGATCGACTTCGATATCATCGAAAACCAGAAGGAGAACATTCAATCGCTACCAGGGGGGCGGTCTGCTCGAGAGCTAGCCCGAATTTTTAGTCCCCGAGAAATGACGGACAAGCTCGCTGTTCCGTCGCCAAATGAGACCAAAAGCGTTAACGATGCTATCAGACAAGAATATGAGGCGGAGCTGCAAGCTATTGACGAATCTGATGACCCCCTCGATGTTTATGACCGATATGTGAAATGGACGCTCAACGCCTACCCCTCCGCCCAGGCCACACCGGAATCCGGGCTTCTTCCTCTTCTCGAACGCGCCGTGAAACACTTTCTCTCTTCCGCACACTACAAAAACGACCCCCGCTACCTGCGCTTATGGCTGCAATACATCAGACTTTTCTCCGACTCGCCACGAGAAACATTCGCTTTCTTGGCCCGCCATCGTATTGGTGAGAGCCTCGCATTATTCTACGAGGAGTTTGCGGCCTGGCTGGAAGGTGCAGGGAGATGGACACAGGCAGACGAAGTTTACCACCTCGGTATCGAGCGTGAGGCTCGACCAGCAGAACGCCTGGCTCGCAAATACCGCGAGTTTCAGTATCGCTACGAACAACGGACGCAGGACAATGGTCCCTCGTCCCCGGCCTTGCCGGCCGTCCGCCCAGCCTTGGCGGCCAAGGTTGATCCTTTCGCGTCGGCTTCCCCCGCCTCGCCCGATGCCCAGGCCGAGCGCCCGGCCCCCGCCCGCAGCGCCGCCCCGAAGACGAAATCCGGCAAACCGAAGATGGCCATCTTCTCCGACGCCGACGCAGCGAGCGAGCCGGCGGTCAGCGGACCGGCGCAAGGCTGGGACAGCATCGGATCACTGCAGGATCGACGCAAGGAGAACAAGGTGGAAGCGAAGCCTTGGGCGGGAGAAACCTTGAAGGCCGGGAAGAAGCCCGTGCCGAAGGAGAAGATGACGATCTTCCGGGATGAGGTATGTGCATTTCCCGATTCTCTCTGACTTCCAGATATTTACGATCGCAGGACTAATTGGTGGCATGAACCCGGTTTGGTTTACGATTAATGTATTCAGTCAAAATCGAAAATTCAAGTCAAACAAGATATTCCAGATGTCGTGCCAGAGCACCGCGTAAGGGAAGCGATCAACCCACGTACCGGACGCCGGGAACGCGTTTTCGTCAACCTCGATGCCGTATACCCTGACTATAAGAATCCGAACCATGAAGTTAGCTTCGAGGAACTCAGAGCGATGAGGCGGGGGTGGTTGAAGAAAGACTGGCGGGTGCCCAAGGTGCCTCTCAGAGAGATTCCCGGCAATTCTAATGCCGAAATGCCCTCCGAGAATCCCCTCGAACATGGCATAGAGAACGTACTACCGGATCAATTCAGGCAGAAACTGACCGTGAAGGACAGAAACACTCATGCGCAGGAGCACAGTGAGGCAAATGCTGTCCAGGAAAACAAGACCAAGGCACGAAAAATGAAAATGCGCGAGGTCAAGCAAGAAACTCAGACAAGTAAGCGCGTGTTTCCTCGAGCCTACTGATGATTTGACGCTCAGAGACCCTAACAACCCATAGTCAAAATGAAGTTTGATTCTCCTACTGGAGGCAGCAAAGTTCGTCGGAAAAGCACTGCTGAGCCCACCATGACAATGCACACACGGGCTGCAACAGACGAGATTTATAGTATATTCAACCAACCACTGAAGGCGGAGACAGATCAAGCGGCCGAGAGTGATTTTGATGATGATGACTACACAAGCGCTGGGGAGAGCACTGTGACGGGGCATATTTCAGCTGCATCTAGCGATTTCGGCGACGACGAGACGACGACCTTCCACAAGTCATTTGACGATGATGGGTTCGAGGATAACACACGGGCGGAAAGTGTTATCGATGGTGAATGGACACAGTTCTCTGCTTGCGACGTCCCCAACGCCCACACGTCTCATTCACTCGTTGACGAACACTCCTCCTATGACGATAGAGAGAACGAGATTTTTGATGAGAATGCTGGTATCGAGCAACCTGAGAGGCAACGATTTGTCCCAGAGATGCCCGAAGATTATGTTGCTCCCTACGGCACCTACCGGGATCCTGCGATGGTAGCTCAGAACCGCTTGCCTTTCATGACGCCGATCGTTGAGCAGACAGAGTACTCTATTTCAATGACAGCAGCGAGGGCCCAGATGTATAACGCAAAGACACCCTCCAAACCGCAGATGGGGAACCTCTTGTCAAGTCCGCTACTTGCTACCAGCACCCCCCACCACGAGGACCACTTCGCCGATATCCCCGAGGATGTGACCATCTGTCCAAATGTGGACGAAGTACGATCTAGCATGAGACTCACGCCTCTGAGTGAGAGCATGCGACAAGAGCCGGTTATCAAGCAGCTGCAATGCAGTCCCACGAACAAAGACGTTCGTAACACCATTCTTCATTCCTTGCAGCCGCCTTTGGCCTCCTACTCAGGCTATCACAACCACCCACAACTGATGACCCACTACGGCTCCGAAGTCCAGAGATTCTTTAAAGCGACTAGCAAGCGTGGGAAGAGCGGGGACGAGGCGGCGTTTGACTTGCCCATCCTCGAACTACCAGGTGCTGACAGAAGTTATATCATCCGACGAGAACTTGGTGCCGGAGCTTATGCCCCCGTCTACTTCGCCGAGAGCATCGAAGGCCTACCGTCTGACTCAGAGAGCGAATCGACAGGCAATTCGAGCAGAGATTCCCGCAGCAGAACCGTTTCAAGCTACAACGCCCCACGCCATGGATTCGAAGCCATCAAATTGGAGGTTGGCCCACCGAGTGAATGGGAGTTCTACATGATTCGCATGGCGCACGACCGCTTGACCCGGAACCCTGAGCTCTCTCGCGCCACCGACAGTATCATCCGGGCTCATGAGCTTCATGTCTACCGGAACGAGAGTATCTTGGTGGAAGACTATCGTGGTCAGGGCACGATTTTGGACCTGGTCAACCTCATCCGCAGCGAACCAATTTCGCCAACCACCAACAGTGAGGGTGGAATGGACGAGGTGCTGGCCATGTTCTTCACCGTCGAGCTATTCCGCACCGTTGAAGCTCTGCATGCAAGTGGGATCATCCACGGCGACATCAAAGCCGACAACTGTCTTGTTCGCCTCGACGACAAGCCTGCCCTGCCTCCCTCCCTGATCGACCTAGACAACGACTACGCCGACCCGCGCGAGGTGCACTATTCCCCGCGGGGTCACCACGGCTGGTGCAACAAGGGCCTCTCGCTGATCGACTTCGGCCGCGGCATTGACATGCACGCCTTCTCCCCGGCCGTCCAATTCCTCGCCGACTGGGAAATCAAGAGCCACGAGTGCAACGAGATTCGCGAATCGCGGCCCTGGACCCACCAGATCGACCTCTACGGCCTGGCCGGCACCATCCACGTCATGCTGTTCGGCAAGTACATCGAGTCGATGCCCGTCCGCCGCAGCGAGGGGTTTTCGGCGGGTGGTACTGACTCGGACCAGCCCGAGCCTTCCTCCTCGGCCACCACCCGCACCTACCGCATCCGCGAATCCCTGAAGAGATACTGGGAGCGCGACATCTGGACCGACGTCTTTGACCTCCTGCTCAACCCGGCCGCCGAGCGCTGGGCCCAGGTCGAGCGCGCGAACCGGGACCCCGCTGCCGCCGGCGTCGCGGAAGACGGGACCGGTCCTGGCCCTGCACCGATCCTCCCCGTGACCCACTCGATGAAACTGGTGCGGGAGCGCATGGAGGCCTGGCTGCTGGGGAACGCCGAGAAGAAGGGCCTCGGCTTGCAGCTCCGCAAGCTGGAGGCGATCTTCGCCGAGCGCAAGAAGAGATTGGAGAAGGTCTAGGGTCTACCCTCCTGCGGTTCTGCTCTATTCTTTCTTTGGTTGTGATATGTCGCATGATCTGAACACATCCCTCAACCTTTAGTTTATACCCCCCCTTTTCATGCTTTTGGGATTTGCAGCGTTGGCGTTCTGAGGTGGGATTGTGTTTCTCGGTTAGATTGCCTTTTCTATTCTGGTACTAAGGTTTTGTTCCTTGTCGGTGGGATAGTGCTACACATCTCAATAATTCGTACAAATGTTACCATCCTCTGGGATAGTGCTACACATCTCAATAATTCTTACAAATGTTACCATCCTCAACAGTATTCTACGTATTCGAACCCCAGAGTTTATTCGAATCAATGGATTGAGAAAAGTAGAATAGTTATGTGTATCCTTCGCAGGAAAACAGCCATAACTCAATTTGAAGTGCAGAAAATCTCTAGAGATAGATAGAAAAGAAAAAGGTGGACATTCAGAAGAACCAGACAGACAATCTTCAGCTTACACTCGAAAAGAGAAACAAGACGAAGAAGGAGACTGAGACTTTCACCGACTGTCGCACACGCGAGATAGAAAAGAAATAGAGTTGAAGAAAAACACCGCTAGAACAACAGATAATGGGGCCATCTTCGCTTGCTTTGCTTTCCATGTATTGTACTGTGTAAAGACACAAATCATCCCAAGCAGGAAGAGTCAAATTTGATGCAGCATTGATCGTTTCATCTATCGCAACACAAAATAATCATTTCAGTCAATAGCGCGTCTCTCCGTTCCAATCGTCGTCGTGCATTCCCTCTGAATACACGCGGTTTCGTTGTCGTGGCAAAAAAAGAAGTAGATAGATCAGATCGCACAGGAAGTCGATGGTCGATGAGTTGGTTGCTGGGGTTGGTGGTGATGAGATAATATTGGAAAATGATATGGAAGAAAAAAAAGTAGGGAATGTTCAAAGAGTGAACCGCAAGGGAGCTGTTAGCTGATCGTAGCTGGTTAGTTGCCCTACTTGGCAGTTGGAATTGGTGATGAGTAGATCTTTCAGGGAATGAATGTGGTTAGGTAGGTTGAGATTGCGGGGACAAGAAGGAAAAGAACGAGTGTATTTGACCGTCAAACAGCGTTAAGGAGAGACCTGCATGGTGGCATGAGGCTTGATGCCAATGAAGTTGTCGGAGCTCTCGGTGGATGTGCAATGCTGCAATATTCAAAGAGCTAAGTCCAAATAGGAAAACAACGATCGATTTCTGTCGGTTTGATTCGTTTTAGCCAATTCGGCTGGTACACCATAGTCCTCGGTCCTGAGCATAACAGATTGGTGGATGCTGCTGGAACAACGCACATGGATGCACTTGAGTTAATGTTGTTTTTCGGTTTTCAAATTTTGCCAGTGTTGAAAAACTTTCAACATGCGGAACTCTAGGAGTTCAAGGTAAGGTCATAAGATTCGTCAATGCCGTTTCTGTCATTATTCTTTGATCCAAAGCGATCAAATTCGCAACAAGTCGTCCAGGTCATTAGTGAGGCAACAAGCGCCAGCATCACCGCCTTGAATAGGGCATATTGAGGATTTGTCTGCGAATTCGTTCCGCATCCGATATACCTTCTTCTGTCGGGTCAAATGGGAGTGGGTTGGTGATCTCTGGTTCCTTACGTGGGGTGCCAGAAACGCCCGGTCTGAACTGCGGGAGCAATCCACTTGCGAACGGGTCGGAGAGGGACGGTGCATGTCGGACGAACCGAGGCGAGGGTTCGGGCCTTTTGGCGGCCTCAACCTTGAAAGGTGAGCCCAAGCGCTTGATGCTGTCTCCAACCAAATTGAGAAGTGGATTGACGGGCTTCTCCACGAGGCTATCCTCATTGCGAGTTGTTGATGACGGGGGAGAAAATAGCTGATCAATGCCCCTAGGGTTCACCGCACTCATTGTCGCTCCACGGTTACGGATCCGAATCCGACGTTGGTCCATGTCGTTCAGCTTTCCTTGGCGGACAAGCTCCTCTAACTGGTTCCGTGTATCTTGTTCTACAGGAGTTTCTGCGGCAGGCGCATTGCTGGCGATAGTGGCGTCGTGCTCAGCAGCGGGGAACACAGGTGGGGAGCGTAGCCGGGAACCCGTGACGTGGATCGTATCTCTTCGATTCCTGGGTGTATGGCGCTGGGATCGTTTTCTTGAGCTATGAGGACCCCATGTATTGTATGTAAATGGGGATCCGAGGCGAGGTATGCTCTCCTGCTCATTTACGTTCGCATGAGTTCGCGCAAGTGGTTCTATGGGTGCTAGCTGCGCAACCCCTGATATGGGGGTGTTGAACCACTCATCATTCTTCTCCGGCAAAGAGGAATTTTCCGCCGTGAGTTGAGCGAGTGGTCCATGGGTTGAGCTGGCGGCAAGTGACACGCCCAGGTCGCGTGTTGCATACGCTGTTGAGCTGTTGCTGTAGCCATCAGCCTGAGAGGCTTCTTGTGAGGCCCGTGTGAACAAATCGTAGAATGGTGTAGGGCTCTTGGACTGCATCATCCGCTGATAATGTGGCGCGATACAGAACTTCTTTCGGCAGAGGAGCTTGAGCCTTCGCCGGGTTGACGCCTCCGACTTGGGCCAGAGTGGTCTTGCGGCATCGGTCTTAGGGGTCGGGGTTTTGTCTCCGCCCGAACGTGACTGAAGTATGGCGAACGGAAATTGCTTGTCCAGTCTAAAGCGACGTTTCTCCCAGGCCCGCTTTGCGTCACGTGCAATTCGATGAGTGACACCCAGGGGCGGAATACTGCCGGGGGTCATCTTGAAGGGAGTGATTGTAGGATCCTGAAGATACAACTGATAAGTATTCCAAAGATGATTATCCATATCGATTGTCCAGCGCTCCTTTGCTGGGAAAGCCCGCGGTTTGTTCTTGAGAGCAGCACGCATCGATGGCGTCTCGGTAACATGCTTGGGGGGTAATTCGAGATGGAAAAATGGATCGTACGAATCGCTTTCCATGCTCGTACAGCTTCCACCCGCCGAGCGTCGCGACCCGAATGTTTCGATAGATGAGACGGAAGAATCCGATGCTTGCGAACAGGCGGATCCAGGTCGCTGAATGTTTTCTCCAAGAGTACGAGCATCTTCGGAAGACCAGCGCTCGGGGGATTGATTGTCAAGATTCGGGCGGATTTGAGCTGGAGGGGTCTTCAGGGCTACTTTGTCCCGAGGGGGCGCTAGAAAGCGGTCATCCCGTGACGAAATTGTCGGGCCTCCATTGACTACAAAAGCATCATGGGGCGTGGGAAATTCGATGGAGGGGAGAGGGATATCGGAGGGGGTTGGATAAGCCGTGCTGAGGTCATACTCGGCTTGCGCAAAGACGTTGGTTCCGGAGCGAACACGAGATCGGCGAAGGCGACAGCTGGAATGACGAGGCGGCGCCGGCGGGACATCTAGGTGCGCTGGGATGCGCTCGGGTGTCCTCGGCTCCCCTATGCTGGTGGACGGGAAAGTGAAATTCTTGGGCAGCGTGCGCGAAAGGCCCAGCTGTCGAGACTCCATGGTAGACAGGTGACAGTCTCGCACAGTGGTAATTGGTGACAGGCTGGGTCGCGACGACGTGATCCGGAGAATTAATACGTACTCTTAGCAATAACACTTTCTCTGACACTATAACATGTCGCTCGTCTGTGGAAATGTTATGCGCAGGAAACGAGATATCCTCAGCAGGAGTCAAAGCGCTAACGGGGAGATTATAGATGCCGCGCAGTGTACGCGATCCCAATTGATCGCGCTGGAACTCAATCGTGGTCGATAATCCTGCGGGAGCCGGACAGCCAGGTTCTGACGGTATCCAAAATGAAGGATAGAGCAAAGAAAATCGTTCTCGCTAGTAGTTGGACGTCTTGAGTCAGGCTTCAGGGAGATGAACTAAGCGCGCTGGGGGGGCGGGGGGTTCGGGGTCGGCGGAGGGTCGTAAATCGTAACAGTAGATGAGTAAGAAAAGGAAAACAAGGTGCGTCAAGGTGTGAGTGGTCGGTTAAGAGTTGTGAGGACAGTGATGTGAGGCGCGAAGGTGTGGAATGTAACGATGCGCTGGAATTGAGACAGAATCACATTGAATTGTAGCCGCGCTCCATTGCCCGATCGTCGATTTACTTGAAGTATGGGGAAGAGGCGGACATTGACCACACGAACCCGAAACCAACAAAACACGAAGGAAACAAAGAGGAGAGAAAAGAAAAGGAGGAAAGGGATAGTCAAGGACGAGCGACAGGCTCTATCGGAGAATAAAGGAAAAAAATAAGAGGAACACGTAGCTGTATAGAGGAAAAAGGGAAGGGTGGGGAGAGAAGGAAGTGAATGGGGGAGAGGAAGAGAGAGAGGGCGGAAGTGAGAGGGGAGAGAAGGCAAGGAAGGAAGGAAACTAACTAACTGGTAAGACCGGTGGTAACTTGGTAAGTTAAGGAATAAGGGAGAGACAGCCGAGGACAGAAGCGGTAGCCGCCCGTACAGTACCCTTGGGTTGGTCGGGTTTGGCGGACTGCTACCACTGAGTTAACCACTGTAAGTTGACCACTGTAAGTTAAGCTAACAGTGGAGTTCCTCCCACCACGTCAAGTCCCTCCCTCTTTTAGGCTCCGGGAGAGAAGCTCGATCCTCTCCTTGCCCCGTTCCATGGATGCCACACGGACAGACATGCAATGAATGCTATGACCATCACATCCCTCATGTCATGTCATCGATCTAGTGATTTCCTGCCTGGTTTTTTTTCTATTTCACGATATGTACCCAGACCAGAATAAGAAGGAAAATGAGACGAAAAAAATAAAAGTAATAAGAAAAAAATTGACAATCAAAACCAAAGAAGGACAAGAAAAGTCGCTCATCACATTGCCTCTGGAATGCGGAGAATTGATATGTTGGACATGCTCGTGTGAGCCACTCAGCGACAGGAATACTATATTATGCTGACCCCCTTTTTCCCCTTTCTTCCTTTTCCCTCTTGGGTCATGATTGTTATTCTGTCTTGTTCTTCTCTCTAGTAATTTCGCGTCTGCATTACTTTTCCTGCTTTTCTTTCTTCACAATTTGCGGGGCAGTCTCATTCTGACTTCTAACTTGGTGACTTAATTGTCAGTGTGCTCGAGAACGAGACCGTCATTACCTGCGTCAGAGGAATCAAAATAATGCTGGATATAGATTGATAGTGAGCGAGGAAGATCCGCCTCACCGCGTTGCCCAACCCATCCCTCGGAACGGGCAGAGAAAAATACAAAAGAAATGTGCGCCTGCAGTGCCTGGTCGAACAAATGACAATTCCGCTCGGATGGGGCAAATCGTTGTTGGCCGCCCCCACTAAGAAAAGTGTACACTGTACAGTATACTGTTCCTTAACAAATTAGCAGACTAGTAGACTAGTAGTTTAGTGGTGACTCTAGTCGAGGTACCTTTGCACGGGCTGGGCTGATATCGATCGGGCCATGCCCAAGAATTAATTTCCCCATTACTTTATTCGCAACATTGCTCGTCCTCGACCCTGCAAGGGTGTCTGTCTCGGTGTGATGCCGTGAGCAGGCTTGGGTTTCCCACTGTCAGGGTGCAGGGTGCAGTGTGGCCCGTACGTGGCTGCTACTGGTGAGTCGTAGCAGCAGTGGTAATCTCGTTGTACTACCAAGTAGTATCTGGCTCCTCCATGTTTTCTACTCCTTCTGCCGCCTTCTAGGTGATGTGATGACAAGCTTCACGGTCCAGAAGACAGACTCACGAGGGGTAGTAATTATCAGCGGGTCCTCCCTCCTCCATTGGATCGACAAACCGTGCTTGCTTGGATCCCGCCAGAGACCGAAATAGCAGTCTCGACTTCATCCTAGTCTACTTACTCCCTAGTGTGGTAGAAAATTCGGGTGGCTGGGAAGGTATTTTGTTGGCCTTGGGGTGGTAGGCAATTGCTGCTGCTCGAGGAAATTATTTCGCCTCGAGGCCTGAGGAAGGATAGAGGACTCGAGACTCGAGAACTGTGTCTGTGTCTGTGTGTTGACGGGGAGAGGGGGAGAGCGAGGGAGAGCGAGTTGGCGAACACTCTCCCCGAAGGCGAGGACCCCAGTCTCCTGCAGAGGCATTCCCCACCGTCAGGCCAAACGAACCCCCAATGCACTGGGCGTGCATTAGCGACCCCAACCAACAGCCAGTAGCATGGCGGCGGTCGAAATTGTGATCAAGCACTAGTTTGGATGGCATGGTTCGAAAGGATGAGTCGGTGGCAGTGAGCGAGGAGACACCGGTAGTAGATTCTTCTAGTCTTCTCTTCCTTGTACTGTACCGTTTGTACCACAAGACGAACCCTTACCTGAAACCACCATGTAATCTATAAAACTTTCCAAGCAATGTATGTGTAATTTATCTGTATTGCACATGGGTAGTGCCATTCTGTGCGCCGGAAACACATAAAAACATCAACTATCATCCTATTGCTTTAGATACATATATCATGAAGGTTTGATGTGAAGGAAAGAGACTTGTAACTATGTTGCCCATAAACTCCTTAAACATATATCCAACTTAGAAACTACATTGTGCTGCAGTGCAGAATCAGATTACACTGCCTGGCAAGCTTCTCTCCCTTTTACTTAAAAGCTTGTTGCTGAGCCGAAGTGTTTTACAAAGGGAATCTCGCGAACATCTGTAGTGGCCTTTGATCGGGCTTCTATATACCCCCTGTCAAAACATGTTTAGGCTTTCGGCGAAGAGAAGGAAAGTAAGGATTGTTGACCAGGTTTACAAATTATGCCATGACTACCAAATATGGCAGATCATATTTGAACCGAGCTCAAACTCAAGTCGATTTAGTTTGACTACTGATGAGCGCCGTATAACTCAAGACTTATTGAAATTCTACACTCCAAGTCCTATAAAGGTGTCAGTTCCCACGAGGAGATGGACAATTCCGGATAACGTCTGAAATCTCCCTCCCGAGACTCGGCTTTGTCGGAATCAATTTATCCTGCCTCCCCCGAAATCAACAATGCAAAGATCATTATCGGTGTTAACTAGTATATTATCTGGCTTTGCATCATCTCAAATGATTTCTGCGGCATGTAGTCTTCGCATTATATTTTGAAGCTGATCTGTCCACTTCTTCCAAATATGTCTAGAAGTAGCATTCATGTCGATATTCGCCAAGTACTGTAATGCTCGATGTATTCAAGCAAAAGTCTTAAAATTCTGGTATTAGTATGATCTTTCTGGCCTTGCACCATTTCGTGTAGGATCGGGATATATACAACATCACAAAGACTTCTGGATCTGATCTGAACTAATGCAAGTATCTTATACTCAACTTGCTTACTGCAGTAAGTGGGGTTAAAGAATCGAATCGCACCAATCCAATTGAGATCTTTTTAGGCCGTTGAGGAAGATCTTCCTCTATCTCGTCCGGTAACAATATGACTCTCCAAGCTTCGACCAAGACAATTTCACGTTCTATAACAGCAGTTGATAGATCAGCCCCCGGGGCAGCTTATTCTATAAGCGGCTGATTTTAGAACTTCCTATTTAGAGTCTGTCGAGTAAGATTTAAGATTTATATGTCGAACCAATCCTGCAGAGTTCGCACTTGAGGTTTTTGCTTCTCTAAAGATAAGAGCTTTATAACAGAATTGTATTTAGAAATGAAGCAGATTTCTTTTATTAGATTCTTCTTAACGCTCTCTTCTTTATTACTCTGCTTCACTGCAGTATTATACGAGTGCAATTTGTACAAAAGAGCCAAGTACTATATTGTGGTTTTCAAATTATCTTGACATTTTTCTGCAAAAACTGTGATGTGAAATCGCATGCTATAGCATAGTATTGTTAACTCAGTATTAGTGCCCGCGCCGCGGAAGAACTCGAGCATAGTATATGCTAATAAACCTCTTCATATCTAGTAGCTTAGCATCTAAGTTATGGCAATCGATTCGAAAGGTAACTATACATCGAAGCCAATATCAATCTGACAGTAAATGTCCAAGCGACGATGGACGAAAGTGACATCGCTATCCTACCAAGATAGTTAGATTCCATGTGCGAACAACCACGATGCGCTCAAGTGGCGATGTCTGTGGAGTTCTTGTCAACTTTCAATACTTGGAGGAAAGTG